ACATTGAGTATCTTGTGTAGACAACTCTTCATAAATACTTGTACCGTTTTGATGATGGTTGTGGTAGTTGTGAAAGGAAGTTCTAGCTCACTCCGTACAGTATAACTGACTATGTTCATGTTTGTGAATTTAATATTGGTTGACAGTTGCGATTGAGTTTCATATGTTGTTCAATTGTAGGAATGTGGTCCTTCCTTTGTCAATCCTCTCCTTTACGTCCGCATCCGATCCGATTTTCCTTGTTCATCGATAATGCAATGCAGTTGACCAGATACATAAAAGATTCCACATCTTCCAGAGTTTCTCCATCAAATGTGATTGTGTTGTTGTTCTCCGTTTTGTATTTGAGGATGTTGCTTTATCCTTTGTATATCTTAAGGTCTACTGATGATAATCTTGTACTATGTGAATACTGAGTGATCAAATTTAATGAATGATTGGACTTCAAATTTTTAATGATGACTTTTATTCAGTACTTTATGATTTTTAATTATTTCCTAAGGTTAATTCATTATGTAAAGTACGAAATGTAATAATCTCGACAAATCACTTACACTTCTGCATAGTGTAACTCAATGTCTTTTAAACTTGACAGAAGACTTTATCTCTGGTTAAGTAATACTTTATCTGCTTGTATGTACATGAAGTTATCCTCAGTTCTGCTTTTATTCAAATAATATTCCATAAATTTATGCTATAACAAACAAAGTTGTATGAACTGTGATATATGCTGTCTATTGATCACCTGACTTAAATCATAGCCGAGTTCCAACTTCCCACAAATCAAAATAAACAGATACCAGAAACCCAAATAACTGATTAGCAATATATGAGTTTTTCCTAGATGACAAATATACTCAATTACATACAAAGTATCTGACACAAAGGAAACATGATTGAAATGTATTCAAGACATAAACGATTATTCGATAAGGGTTATTTCACAATTATATAATATACCCTTATGGGCCAGGTTAATTTTGTACTGGTTTTCAGGAGAACCAGACACTATATAGGCTTCAACGCTACAATCCGAACAGAACGTTGAAGGGTTATTTTAGATACCAATATATTGAAGGCCCTATAATTATGCTCATTCATTGCCCATTATATCACTGTGTGTATGTCTCAGTCCTACAGAAAAGTCAGTTATATTCTGTTTCTGGCTGATTTGATTTGTATACTCATTAGATATAAATAGTTTGAATGAGTTTCTGTTCAACAATCGAGAATAATGAGTCGTTAATCTGAGTCTAGTATATGATAATGCCGTTTAGTTCGTTACCAATCACACTAAGTTCTACTTTAGAAATAAATCTTTTCTTTCCGAGTATACTTCATTACTTCAAAGAGAAATTGTACTGTAGATAATGTCCAATAAGATGTGAATAGTCAATCTACCGGAAGTTCAACTAGTATAATAAAGTAACTAAGAAAATATCTAATTTTGCATTAATTATAGTCACTTATTAGTCAACAATGTCATGTTTGTCTAGTTCCTAATGGTAATCTAATTATTATCAAGAGGGGGTTTTGTGGAAATTTTAGTAATTTAATAGTTGAATTATTACAATCTCCACAAAACTCCCTTCTCATAATCATCATCATGTGCTCTCTAGTGACTGGCTTCCTGAAGTTCTAGTGAGAAGCCGTGACCAGTAGAGTTCAACCGTGTCTGTTGTGAGATAGTAACTCACTGAAAACAATGGTGGACAGTAGCGCGATTTCAACTATCAAATGATTTAATCATATTGGTCAAGCCAAAATGTAGTCACTAGTCTGAACGAACTGAAATCATGGTAGGATTAATCAGATATTTTGTACCATAGTATATTGAGTAGATTGGTGAATATGAATTTCGATATCACAGACTAATTTTGATCATTGAAACCAGGAGGCAAAGGTCAGATGTTTCCTCCTGGTATTGATCTCCTTACGATCGCCCATGCACGATCGTATCATGAGTCGAACTTAGGACATGCAGGACTCATATCACTGGATTAGAATATAAGGGTTCATATTTTTGACTTCAATCTATCCGCGATATTGTACGGCCACTATATAATATGGAGCCGTAACCAGTGGACTTTAACTACGTACACGAGATAAATGTTAACAATGGTAGTGTACGATGGTCACTTAATATCTCAAATTTGTTGAAGTCAAAACTATAATTCATTAAATACCTGACCAGTGGTTCAAAGGTCAGACGCTTGACAAGAGGCCTAGATTTCCAGGGTCTGATCCTTGATGTGGTCGTGGATGTGACCTAGTGTGAAGGTCGACACTAGGACTTAAAAGCTGTTTATTTCTTCTTGGTTTCTAATTAGATATTATGTAATTAAATGCAGTCACCTGGACTCATAAATCTATGGTTTCATTAACGCTCAGAAGTTAATAGTAAATTTGATTGTAACTCTGATTAAACTGATGTTCTGTTTTTATTCAAAACAGAGTATCTATTAACTGATTTATATCGAAATTGATTTATAGTATGTTTACAGTATCGAAGCTCATATATTTGTTGATACCTTGTTTGATTGAATGCTTTTTTGCGGTTTTGTAAAGATCTTGTACAATTTAAGTGAAGTTTTCATTATAATCATACATACACTATGAAAATCATCAAACTGAATCACGAAGTAACCGCTAACTTGAAATTCTTCAGAGAAAAAGAAAAGGGGAAAGACCAAAGAACATACTGTATCGAGAATTGGAAGCAGACATGAAAAGAATGACTAGCAACTGGAAAGGATTGTCGATGACAGAGTTGGATGGAGAATGATGGTGAGTGGGCTATGCTCCTCCATGATGGTTAACTAACGTAAGTAAGTTTCATCACAATCAACTGACATCATGTAAATAACGAATAAACACTAGAAAAAGAGTAGATAGTTGTTTTTTCTTAAAGAGACAACTCAATAAACTACACTGACAACCACCACAAATATTGAAACTGAATACCTTGAGGTCTCATGATTACCATAACACCATAGAGATTACTGAAGTAATGTATAAAATAGTTCCTATTTTGAGTTTCACTTAAGTTATAGTATAGTACAAAATCTTTTCCAGTTATTTTCTCAGTTAACTAATTACATTTTCCTTGAAAAAGCTTGAACCAGATTGCCAGGTGAAACATTGGATTTACTTCAAATTCTTAATATTTAATGTCGTACATCAACCGGGCGCTCAAATACTATGAAACTATTCAATCTAATTTAGACGAAAGTTCTTATATAATTACATTTTCTTCAATATTTTGTTCATTATTCAGATAAGATTGCTCAGTCTCTTATTGGCCATATGTGCATAATGTGTGTATTGCCTCGATATAGCCTTAATTCACAAGTATTCCAAGCAAAGATGGATATTGGCTAGCAGTGGAATCCAGTTTGATGCGCATTTTGTCCTGTTTGGGACTCGTCAACTGGGTGTACCTACATATCAGAGTTAGTATTCACTCTGGGACTCCAACCCAGTATCATTCGCTTCAAACGCCATCTCGTTATACACTCAGCTACTGATTTCTGATAGCCACTCGCTTATGCGAGTTAGTTTTGTTTGTTCGAATGTCCCCATTGACGTTTAGGACTGCAGATATATCCAACTGACGAGTCCCAAATAGGAATGTAATGAACAGAACATTGGTTGGGGACAATCAAATGTATTTTAGGAAAATTACAGACTATCTCAGTAAATTCTGATAACCAAACAATGAACAGTCAATTTGCAAATAAACAACCAATTGTTTCAATCTTCACTGTTTCTTCTCTAATTCCACTGCTCATGCATTTTCCAAACGATTGCGCTTCATTTCAGTTCTTTCCTCATCGGTCTTCTTCCAAAATACATTCTATGTCTGACCCACGCCATATACTACTTATATGGATATAAGTAGATGGTGGAGAAGATTTGTAGCTCAGGTGGGTGATTTTGATGTTGGTTTGTTCTCTGAGCTGGGTGGTTTGGTCGTGAAACTTTCATCGTCCTTCTGAACGACATCATCAGCACAAACTTCGGGTAGAAGTGAAGTGTTTGAATTTCTCCACATGTGATTCACAGCTTGTAGACCACACCACAGGATGAAACAGGCTTCCTGTATTCCACTGCTAGCCAATATCCATCTTTGCTTAAGATATATTTTATTTTTATTTATCATCGACCAATAATCACAGTAAAATCCTTTGGCTTTCATGTTTGTTTCCCGTATATTATTCTTGAAAATAATACACAATTATTGATTTCACTATTAGAATTATTAGAAAATCTTACACATTGCATATGAATACAACTACCAAAACAACTACTTGCATATATGTACCGTAGAACTGTGCTTCCTCAACACACACACTCGCACACACACACGCACACTATTTTCTTCCCATAATTTCTCTATCTCTTTTTTCTTTTTTCATGCACATATTCCATGTTGAAATGTTCATATTGATTAATTTTTTTATCCCTTCAGACATAACAATCAGTGTTAGTCAACCTAGTAACAATATTTGGATAGGATACAAAATCTCATACACACAAAGAGGACATCCATATCAATTTCTACAAGACTGTTTATGATGAAAGGATACATAACACACACACACACACATACACACACACTTACATACATACATAGATACAACCATAGACATTTGTGCCGGTAGTAACACAATCACCATAACATTAATTACACTAACAATAACAAAACTAATAACTAATCATAATCATAACAACTATTACCAATTAGGAGTTACTGATTATATATAAATAAATAAAGAAGTGAAGATTGGTTATAAATCTCCACTTACCTCTTAAATACTCCATTCAAATAAAATCTATCATTTCATTTTTCAACCTACTAACAACAATTTAATGAATAATAATATATATCTATAATTTTTCAAAAATTCAAATTTTTTGCTTTTTTTCAAACAAAAAAAACGCGCGAAAATTTAAATTGAATTCAAATTTTAAAAAAAAAATAATCATCATCATTCACAATGATTATTGATTATCAATATTATCAATATTTAATTAAATTTGGATTTATTTTTATGATAATATATTATTATTTGAATCAAAATATTATTATATCATGCCAACAACCAATTAATAATAATAATAATAATAATAATCCTTATTATTATGATCCTGATCCTGATCCTGATCTTGATCCAAATCAGATTAATTATAAATCAATAAATTATGATCTATTAAAACCAAATTTAATGAATATACCAGAGAAATCAATTAATTTAACATTATTAAATATACAAGATACAATACCAATATCAGCTATATCATTAGCTATTGTATTTGATTCAACTGGTTCAATGGGTAATGATTTAAAACAAGTTAAAATTGGTTCAAGACGTATATTACAAAGACATTTACAACGTGGTGAAACAAATTATATCAAAGATTTTGTTTTAGTTAAAGTACATGATCCAGGTAAGTTTTTTTTTGTTGAAATTTTTCTTCTATAGAAATTATTAATTATTGTGATGCTGAATGCCTTTGTATGGGTGAAGGTAGGGATAGTTAACTCTCCTTCTTGAAATGTTCTCAAATGACGACGAGTATACGGCTACTGTCCCAGGAAAGTCCTATGTACTACCTTCTCACGGTATTAGTGTTGTTTATGAAAGTGAGGGAATGAAAAGTAAATGACTGGTGCTTTAATCTGGTTGATGGATATGAAGGATCCACCTAGGGGAGTTGGAAAACCCTCATTCCAAAACAATGATGTACATAGGTTCCAGGATAGTGTTACACTTTATATATTTATGTGCTTACTTACGCCTGTTACCCCTCGTGGAGAATCATAGGCCGATCATCACCATTCTCCATCCAACCCTGTGTTGGGCCATGATTTCTAGTTCTTCTCAGTTGTTATTCATCCTTTTCATATATGCTTTTTTGGCCTTCCTCATTTCCGCTTCCCTTCCGGATTCTAAGTTAGGGCATGACCTTGTGGAATCAAATGTCTAACACTTTAAATATATCATAGGTTTATTTAAACAGGATATTAAATACACGTTCGGCTTTTACTACTTCTGGGTATTATTCAAAATAGAATGATAATCATTGTTTTCAAAAAACGTCTACTATTCAGTAATCAACAATGAGATGGACAGAAATCAGATTTAGCTAAAGTTATTAATGAGTAAGTTTGCGACCATAATACTATTGGGTAGTAGATTGGGATTTTCAATGGTATATTTTTTTTATAATGAAAGATGATTATTATGAAATAGAAACCATGGGAATGAAATTCACCTTCAAAATGACGATGGCTTCCACGACTACAGTTTGCACAGGATGAACATATACCAATAAGAGACTGATCAATTTTAGTCCTAAACATTAATGGGAAGATTCAAACAACCAATATAAAATGAATATAAGTGTTTTATTACCATATTTACTATGAGTCAGCAGAATTCTAATTTTTCCTGAAAAACTATTTGATAAGTAATCACTTGGTGTTGTTTACTTGTATCTTCCCATTGTTATTTAGGGCTGCTAATGATCAGTCTCTTGTTGACATATGTGTATCCTGTGAGGACTGCTTCGATATTGCATGAAGTCACAAGCTTTATAAGCAAAGATGGATAGTGGTTAGCAGTGAGATCGTGCTATTTAGGACTAACGAGCCCCGAATAGGAAGAAATGCACATCCTGAATTCCACTGCTAGCCACTATCTATATTTGATAAGTAGAGTATATATTTTCAAACGACTTCATTTTCAATAGTTATATATATCTCACTATTTATATTACACAAAAAAACTTATCTAGTTTAGTAAAGATGGATGGTAGCTAGTAGTGAAATCCAGGACGCGCGTTTCATCCTATTTGGGACTCATCAGCTGGATATACCTGCAATTCAGAGTTGATGTTCATAAAGCTTGTGACTTCAGTCAATATCGAGACAGTCCGCACAGGATGCATATATGCCAACAAGAGACTGATCAATTGTAGTCCTAAATAACAATGAGAAGATACAAATAAACAACACCAAGTGAATTTAACATATCTAGTTGATTATTACAAACACCTATATGTAAACACCAAATTCTATGAAATCAATGAGGATTTACATACTAGTCATTTATAACCTTCTCATATAATGTGCTATATAAGAAAGTCAGACTTGTTTATTGTTATAACTTAAAGTTTTCATTTAATCATATCACTGGGGACTGATTTAGATTGTTGATTACATCTTTTTCTATGATATGAAAACACTAAAATGGAAGAATTAATAATATGAACTGATAACATAGAAAGCATTGAATGGATGTTTGTAATATGATGATTGAATCTTGACTGAATTAGGCTTGTTACTAAAATTTATTACAGTAATGATTATAAATAGTTCAGTGAAATAATTTCCTGGAGTTCTAATGAGAAGCTGTGATCAGTAGAGTTCAATTTGTGTCGGATGGAGACAGTTTTCCACTTTAGACAATAGATGAAGGGTTGCACAAGGTCACGATTAAATTGAAGTTAGAGATTAACACCGTTAGATGCTGACTCAGTTGTTTAGAAGTTTAGAGTTCGCTCGCGAGACCGGAAGTCCTGACTTCGAGTCCCCCATGAGGAATTGTGGATGTGCACTGCTGAGGAGCCCCATACTGTAACGAAATAGCCATCCAGTGTTGCCGGGTTTCCAGTGATAGTCTAACTTAAATCTACCCATGGAATCAACTACTAGAATTGTAAAAGTTAATTGCCTACTTGTTAAACTGGAACAGAAAATTAATAAACAAGTGGTCATAGAAAATTACAACGAATTATGCAAGACATTCGAAAGGGGGATTGAATCAGAGTTATCTACTTTACATAAGTTACTTTTATTGATTTAGATTTCCTTTCAGACAATCCGTTTAATTTTGTAGATGAGTTTGTAAAAATGATTCTAAAGGGGGGTCTAAAATCGGTTGTTTAAAAATCAGACTATCGACTGGTTTTTATTCTCATTTGGACAGTCATATCTGAAGCGATTACCGTGACGAATATAACCTGGTTAACAAGAGCGATTAAACTATTAGATGGATTGTCGTATGCGTTAAGATGATAAATAATCCCTAACACTCATAACTCAGGTACCGATCATGGAATCCAGTTCAGAAATAAACACAATAAAAGATCATTCTCGGGAGTTTCATGAAATAGATTGAGAAGTAAATTGTTTATATATGTTAAATATATGGCATTTCAACATCTATCAGTAATGACTGAATCTAAACATGTCTCTGTTGTACACAACTTCTTTATCTTCAATGTGCTAAAACTATGGAGGTGATTCTATGGGAATTCAGCATATATATGCCTTTTTATTGTATGTTAACTAAGTTACTTACTTACTTACTTACGCCTGTTACCCCTCGTCGAGGAGCATAGGCCGCTCACCAGCATTGTACTATAATGTTTTTATATTGTCCTAATTGAGAGCTTCTATTTCACTCACTAACTGTTACTATATCTCTTACCAGTCGTAAATTACGGTAAATTAATCAGTTTGTATCTTTGTTTTTGGTATTATAATTGTTAGTTTAGGGAATCGATATCGAATGGATTACCTATTGCTTCGGGGTATACAGTTAGGAATGTTAAGGGACTAATCTTTAGTGAGGATAAGTAAGAAGAAAAATTCATGCCATCGTTAGTGTAATGTGGCTGGAAATCATCATACTTATCTAGTCATTCAATTCAATTTTTTTGAATAATTATGAAAAAGATTTTCAGTAGGATTATGGAATTAGAAGTGATCAGGTGATGTGATAATGATCCTGTTAAATAAATTATACTTTAATAGTTGAATTCATGAGTTATTTAAAGCTAGACTACCATGGAAAACTTGGAAGCATTGGACTGCTGTTTCATCTTCAGCAGTGCACAAACACGATCCCGCTCGCGGAATTCGAACCGAGGACCTATCGTTCTCTCACAGAAGTCCTATACTAGGACGAAACTGCAGCTCAGTACATCCAGCTTTTCTATGGTGGTCTAGCTTTAACTGATTCATGAATCCAACTATTAAATTACTAAAATCTCCACAACACCCCCTTCTGATAAATTATGATTTGTTGGTTATAACTAATTTCTGTTAATCTATTTTGTGAATAGTACATCGCATTTTCCCACCAACAAATTAATTAATACCCAGTTATACCGATATCAAGGAATTTTTATGTAGCCTACAAGAATTCAGTCGTCGTCTGGCTAGCTAATTATCAAACTCTTTTAACATAACACTAGGTAAGATGGTTTTATCAATTTCATAGGGAAGTTTTCAAGAGTATCATCAACTTTAAGATTGTAGATACATCTTGTACATTAAATCAAATTAGGAGTTTTGTCGATTGTCTTTAATGATCTAAAGTATATTTTGACGTTTCAATTTAATCAAAAACAATATTGAAAAATGGATTGGTTGAAGTTAGACATTAACACCATTTGATATCGTCCAGCTCAGTGGTCTATCGGTTAAGTGCTCGCACGCGAAACTGATAGATCATGGGTTTGAATCTCGTGAGGCTATTTAAAAAAAAACAGTATATTCATATAATGTATCATCATTATTTATCCTTAAAGATGAATCATGTCAACTAACAGTTTAATCATTACAAATAGAATGGAAATAATAAATTTCTAGTCAATTAACATATACTACTTTCAAATTGTAGGTTAAGTTTAGTATACACATTTAACCAATAAGAGACTAACCAGTTACAGTTCTAAAACATCAATGGGAAGATTCAACACAAATAATCTTAAGTGAATTATGTTTAATCAGTTTAATACACTAAACCAAGGTCATCAATGGAATTTAACATTTTCTTTATTGATGACTAATAAGTAGTATGTTACTGTTGTCTTTTACTTTCTTCATACCACTTAAACTAGTCAATATTACTAAACATATAAACAACTATTTCTTTCTTTAATCATAAAGAAAGTATGAATGGCATGTACTATTTACTACGGTGATTGGGATACAACAGTTTTATGTTTCCTCAATGAAATATTTCTCCCCCCCCCCATTATTTTCAAGCTGAAACCAACTGATACTTTAAATAAAATATGACTATTCAAGTATAAATATGCAGTGAAACAAATCTGATAATTTTAAACAGCACTAATTGTGTTTTAAACAATTATTGTCATAGCAACATAGTTGTATATATGTAATATAAAGGAGAACATGTGATTGATAATTTCAGGTCATAGATCAAAAGTAAAAACAAGGCGGTTAGTAACTGCATTATAGATCAATATTATATTAATAAATAATCATCTAGTTCTATTGATCAAGTTGCCATATCATCACTAATCTAAATGATTTGATATTAAAGTACAATTAGAATGGGTTTTGTGGAGATTTCAGTATTTTTCATAGTTGAAATCATGAGTCAATTGAAGTTAGATCACCATGTAAAACCTGGAAGCACTGGACAGCCGTTTCGGTTAAGTGCTCTGGCGCGAGACCGGCAGATCTTGCGTTCGAACCTCGCGAGTGCGGGATCGTGGATTCGCATTGCTGAGGAGTACCGTAATAGGACGAAACGGTCGTCCAGTGATTCCAGCCTTTCAATGGTGGTCTAACATTGACCCATTCATGATATCAATAACAATTTAATCTACGATATGAGATTTCTTATAAGTGAGACTCGTCAGCTGTTGTTATTTATCATAATCTCAGTATAATATAGAATTGTCATCACAAAGTATTTCAAAAAGCTTCCGTTTCTTACTTCTTCGTCGATCCTGAGGATAAATATTGAGCGATCACCAGTTAGAAGTTAGCTGTCCAATAAATCGACATCTAAATAATGCACAAATTTCGGGTAGAATTGCTGATCATGTCGTTCAGAAGAACGTTGAAAGCTCCACAACCGAACCATCCAGCTCAGAGAACAAAACTCAATCAACATCATCCACCTGAACTACAAATCTTCTCCACCATCTTAATATTTTTTTGTGGATAATATACTTTAAATAATAAGTGCATTTTTAGAGAGTATTTGTCATAAACTGATTTCATTTAGGGTTCTTTAAAAAAGACCAAGAAGCACTAGACATCTATTTTGTTCTAGTATAGGACTATTTAGTTGTGGATATTTAACACTTCGCATATAAACTTCAGATATTGCTACGAATGTCTAACAATTACAATCACTAGACTAGCGTTTAGTCGTTTGTAAGGATTGATAAACAATGAAATTAGTTTTGATTATATGGAGATATCAATTAGAAAACCATAAGAAAGAACTAAAGAATTAACTTTTACTAGTTTTAAGCTAAAAATTTCAAACTCATGTTTAAATAAAGTAACTGATTAACTTTAAATATATCTAAGTTGAAGAAAGTATCACTAATGATAGTCTATAATTTGAAAATATGGACTTAGGTTTCTGAAATTGAAAGTACTAGGCTTAAGGATTATGGATAGGTTTGTGGGTGTACAGTTTTGAGAAATTCAAGAAATATGTTCAGTTAATTCCTTGAAAAAGCTTGGACCAGATTGCCAGGCGAAACGTTGGATTTACTTCAAATTCATTCGCTGAGATTTTACAAATATATTATTCTTCCTATTTAATATGTTCAGTTGTTCCTGGTTATTAGTAACTGTATTTTTAAAATCATAAACTCATCTTAGACAATCCTTGAAAAACAGAGAAGGATAGATAGGAATTTGCTCTTGTTATTAGTACTTCTCCACCGATGATCGAATAAAGGACTTTCTAGTCCGGCAAATACTCCTTAGTCTTTAGACCATTGTAAAATTCGACAACCTTCAAAAATCTCTCACACTATTGATCAATAATTCTCCAAAAGATTTCAACAATTGGTTATAATTAACTAGAGATCATGTTTGACTTTAGGTACTTAAAATAGATCAAATACAGGCAAAAGGTTGATGGATAAAGATTATATTTACTGTTATTAAGTATTATCAGAAGGGGTTTTGTGGCGATTTAGTATTTTCATAGTTGAATGCATGAGCCAAGTGAAGCTAGACCACCAAGGGAAATGTCAAAACCCTGGACAGACGTTTCGTCTTATTGTGGAACTTCTCAGCAGTGCGCATCCACGATCCCGCAACTTGCGAGATTCGAACCCAGGACCTACCAATCTCGCGACAGGGCACTTAACCGATAGACTACTGAGCCGGCATTCACGTTATTATGTCGAAAATAGTTGATTTTTATATACGGATATCTAAAATTGTTCTCACACTTCTGTGAAACACCGATCATTTATATTTCCATCATATAAATTACACTCTACTTTTAATATAGAATAACATAGAAAAAAACTAAATCTGAAATTCTTAAGATACTACTAACTTTATGTTGCAAGTATTCAATGAATTCTTTTCAACTTTATAGGCATTCAATAATGAGCAACTTGGATGATTTTAAATTCTGATTCATTTACCTAATTGAATTAGTATCTCAAGTTGCATAATAGTGGGTAGAGTTTTTTTCAGGTAGTATACAAATACAGGTAACTGCACACAGAATAGCTAATTAGTAACTATGATTCTTCCTTTCGTCTAACAAGTTTTACAATATTAATATTGTTATGAAGGATAACACGGGTGGGGACAATCGAATGTAATTAGATACAAATTACAGACTATCTCACTAAATTCTGTTAACCATACAGTAAACAGTTAATTTACAAATTAACAATCAATTGTCTTAATCTTCACTGTTCCTTCTGTAAATATCAGTTCATCTTCTCTAATTTCATTGTTCATGCATTTTCCTACCGATTGCGCTTCATTTTAGTTCTTTCCTTATTATTGATCTTCTGCCAATATACATTCTATGTCTGACCTTCACCATATACTACTTATATGGATATAAGTAGATCACACTACAATATGATTAATGATCTTATGAAAATTTCTAAATATCAAATTAGTGTTTCTAACCAGGTAATTACGTCATCATTCCTATTGATATTTCAGGTACTAGATACTTGGATGTAAACAGTAAAATATATGTTTTGTTGGGGTTGGAAATCGTCATGATATACCAAAGATTTTGGAGGAACTGTTGCTACTCATAGAATTTGAATATCCTTTAGTAAGATACACGTTCTAAGACATAACTGCTAAGTTTTTCAGAGTGTAGCTGACCTTTCATAGAATCGAAATTTTTACGTTGGTTAATCGTTTAATCGTAGACAATTCCAAGTGATAAAGTCTGAGACTGTAAAGTTTTTGACGCGGGTTCAAATCTCATGAGAAATATCAGTTCCCTCATGACTTCAGGTATGCTATAATAAGCAGTATCAACTAACACGAAATGTAGGTTCAGAGTTTCCTATCTACTTATTTCAATGATTTATCATCATGACATAGGGCACCCAATGTTGAATCACTTTGACTGATAGCCTTATTGCAACGCGATAGTTAGAAACCGAACAGTACTAAGTACTAGACAAGCAGGACAGTGGCTGGTAATCAGCGATTAATTAGTAATAGTAAACGCCATCGCGTTATCTACTCAGCACCCCATTTCACAAGCAAGTAGCTATCAGGAATCCGTAGCTGAGTGGATAACAAGATGGCGTTTGAAGAGAACGGTACTGGGTTCGAGTCCCATAGTGAACATCAACTCTGAGAAGCAAGTACATCCAACTAACGAGTCCCAAATCGGACGAAATGCGCTTCCTGTATTCGACTGCTACCCACTATCCATCTTTGCTTCTACTAAGTATCTATTATTTTTGGATAATTGTCAAAAGAGAAGATTTATTGGAATTGTTCAACTTTAAAGATAGATTCTGATTAAAGTTTAAAATATAAACTACTGGATTTCAACTTAGTAGTCTAAAGATACCATGCTTACCATGGTATCAAAAATTATTGAGCTGAAGCATTAAATAAGATTGTGAATAAGCACTGCTAGAGAATTCTCAAACTAGAACATAAAAACTGTCTCATTCTAGTGTGAGTCTCCTTAACAGTATGGATATTCAACTCCTTAACGAAATGATCATCCAGTCTTTCCAGGTTTCCCATGGTTGTCTAACTTGAATCGGTTAGTGATTTTAATAAAATATGGCAATCTTTAAACTCATAGATGATGAGAGTTATCTAATGCTTCTTAGTTTTCAAGATTCCTCTCACCTAAAGCCCTGACTGATAAAAGTGACTTCATGAATATTCCCCAACTTTTCTTTATTATTGATTCATTCAATATTTCATTATTTATGTATTCCTAATTACTTTTTTTATTGCAGATGTTGGCCCAGCTAAAGTGACAACATCCACTAAAACATTTTATGAATATTTAGATAATGTCTATACTCAAGGTGGTGGTGATTGTCCAGAAATGACAATAACTGGCATTGAATTAGCATTGGAAGCATCTAGACCAAATTCATTAATTTATGTTTTTACAGATAGTAGTGCTAAAGATTATAATCGTACAGAGAAAGTACTCAATTTAATACAACAAAAACAAAGTCAAGTAAGTGGATCAGTTATTTTTTTGGGTGACACTATAATTTATGAATGGACCAATCAGATTTAGGGTAATAGGTCTTGAATTTCGGTGCGAAATTCATTCATCTATTTGGTTAAATAATGTTTTAAGCATCTTAGGTGATGTCAGCTCGTGATGAAAAATCTGAATGTGATTCCTAACCTTAATTAACCATCAACTGCAAATCATAATCCACACTCGCACAGGTTTATAAACCTCATTCAGCCCTAGTAAGTGGACATTCTCAAGACTATTTTAGCGTCGCTCATAGGTCATCCATAAACCATAGTCTCACCATTTATTGTTACCAAGATTATTCTAAAATTTCTACTTTACTTTATTCAAATGGTTAAGTGTTTAATTTATTTATGTGGAAGTCGATAAAAGTGTAATGTCCACTACTGTGCTAAGTCCACATAGGTTATTCTATCTTCTGGACAGATTAATTAACTTATTTATTTGACTTGCATTTCGACCTTAGAAATTATTTGCCTATAACCTCGAGTATGTTATATGAGAGTATGTATATATCGATTATTCTATTCATCAGATGTTTTTAGCCTATTTTTGTCTGTTTATAAATATTGAGTACACACTTTATTAAAATGAATTGACATGTTCGCCTTCTCCGCTTCACTTTCTCGCATCTCATTCTTAATGTCTGTCTGAATTAAAGAGTGTTCGATATAAGTTTGGCCAGCCCAACTCGTTTTGGGTGCTTGTTACTGACATCACACAAACGGATTTAGCCTATTATAATATACGAAGTTGAGTAGATGATCTATCATCACGGCGTATACATCAAACGGATTCAGATCAACGGGCTACTAAAAAAGTATACTTTAGGGACGAGCCAATCAGAATCAAGAATGTAAGTCAAATGTCATACATAACAAGCAGTAGAAATAACTCTGTGTACTGCTCAAAATGTTTAAAATGATGGTGAAATGTTATTTTTCTCAACCATAAAATAAAAACATATTGTTAAATGTATGAAATACCTAATTCTGTATCTGAGGATAGTGTATCCCTTAATTCGAACCCTTAGTTCCGAACCAAACTTAAACTTGATAGAACTACACTTTTATGAGAGAATTAATCTGATAACATCACTGACCATAACTTGAAATATCTAACCCTAACTAGGAACATTTTAGAGGCTCCTAAAAATCTATTTGGGTCATTTTAAAAGTTTGAGAAGACGGACAATCTTCGCCCATAAGGAAGAATTCATATGTTGTTGTTTTTTGAGTTTACAATTAGAATAACCTATAGACTCATTAATGATTTAAAATTTGTTTACACTATATAGAATTATTGTTTTATTTCTCTGTGGTGGTCTATATTCGATATTATTCTTAAACTTCTTATAATGTTCGTCCTGATAACTGTTACTCGATAACGTCCTAACGGTGTATAAATCAGAAGGAGAAGATGAAGGATTGATTTTGTTTATTATTCAACCATACAAAGATATCCAAAATTACAGGCACGTTAAGCAAGCATGAAATATTAGTGCCGTAAAGCAGGCTATTGAGAGAGAGTCGAATGAGCTAGAGATCAACCGACCGAGTAAGCGAGTACAATATAGTGCAGTGAACAGGATTAAGATGTACGTATATATATACAAATGGAAAAGCATGAATCATTGAATCAATTAAGCGATTAATAGCTCGGCAGTAAGCAATGCTCAAGCGTACATAATAAAGGTACAATAGTATAGATAGGTCGTTGTTGTACGAATGAATGTCCGTTAAATAATTTAACAAAAGGGCTTAGTCAAATTAGATGTAAACAAACTCAATTGTATATGAGCTGCTATATCGCATTAACTATCTATTGATAAGTGCTATTTTCTAACACGCTATAAACTAGTCGAAAATTTGTCGTTGTTTTTGATGCTCGACCTTTATACTATACTGTGGTCTAGACTGATTATATTATGGAACCGCTGATCAAAATGCACACGTAATTTCATCATTTACCAAACTTAATGCGTTTAGGTCTTGTAGTGATCACTTAGTCATTAAATCTTTGACCTAGTATCTAATGTTTTAGATTGTTTTATGATGTAGTTCATAAAATCCGACAAATTTCAGAAACATCTAAACTACTACTACTATTAATAATAGTAATATATGTCTGTTGTGAATGTTCAACTGAAGATGAAACTGATAAGCTGATTAATATTGATACACACACACAGATACACACTCCCCTTAGGTCCTGTGTAATAAATTTATCTTATACTTCTTTATTTCATAAATTTTTTTGGCACCAAACTGTCTACACCTAATCTTCCCCTTTACTACTGATACTGCTATCACTTCTGTTATTCTGATTGTGTACTGACCTTATGTAGTGTGTCAGTCTGCACTAATCCATTCATATCTCAGATTCTTGGATGCTGATATTTGACCGACTGCATGATTGATTCTGTTTGGTAGATGATATTCATAAATCTATATTTTAATGCTTAGACATTAGTTACTCATCTACAGTGTTTACTGAGAGTTTTGACTGAATTTGTACACTTACTAATGTTGTACATATAGTCTAAATGATTTCAGCTGAATGTCACTAAAGCATATTGATCATTTCTAGGAATGGAGGGTTTGAGTTTGACCATTTTTAACGTCATGTATGCAGATTTACAGTCGAAAATTAAAAGCGACAACTAGTTTTTACTTCAGCCCTACTCATTTTCAATGTACTTCGTTCTACAGTAACTAAATAAAACAACAGGTAGGCTACTTATGCTCCTTTAGAAGGGGTAACAGGTGTAAGTAAGTAAATTAAACAGACATCGAATAGAGAAAAAAAGTGATTTATCTTTCTTTTCTATACAAGGATATTTCAGTTACACTTTATTATTACTATTATTATTAATTATAATTAAGGTTGTATTTGTTCTAACTGGATTTTGTAATACAACGGATGAACCTGGTTTTGAAGCATATCGTCAAATTGCTACAGTTAGCTCTGGTCAATTATATATTATTGGTAAAGGTCAAGTTAATGAAGTAAGTGAATGATAATTTTAAATGATTGTATTTTCATTATCATTTTCCAGTTGAAATTATATCTTTTATATAAGCAATGATAGATAGTGGTTAGCAGTGAAATACAAGACGCGCACTTCATCCTATTTCGGACACGTCAGCTAGATGTACTTACTTACTTACTTACGCCTGTTACCCCTTGTGGAGGAGCATAGGCCGCTCACCAGCATTCTCCATCCAACTCTGTCCTGAGCCTTCCTTTCCAGTTCTTTCCAGTTGCTATTCAGCCTTTTCATATCGACTTCTATTTCCCGGCGTAGTGTGTTCTTTGGCCTTCCTCTTTTCAGCTTCCCTTCCGGATTCCAAGTTAGGGATTGAGTCGTGATGCACATTGATGATTTCCTTAATGTATGTCCGATCCACTTCCAACGTCTTTTCCTAATTTCCTCTTCAGCTGGAAGCTGATTTGTCCTCTCCCATAAAACGCTGTTGCTGATAGTATCCGGTTAATGGATGTTGAGTATTTTGCGTAGACAGCTATTTATAAATACTTGTACCTTCCTAATGATGGTCGTAGTAGTTCTCCATGTCAGCTAGATGTACCTGCATCATTCTGGGATTCTAACGCAACACCGTTCGCTTCAAACTCTATCAAGTTATCCAATTAGTTACTGGGTCTTGATAATCACTAGCTTGTGTAATGAAGTGAAGTTTAAATTCATTTTGTATAGGTTGTTTGAATCTTCATATTGATGTTGAAGACTGAAATTGATCAGTCTCTTATTGACATATATGCATTCTGTGTAGATTGCCTTGATATTACCTTAATTCACAAACATTATAAGCAAAAATGGATAATTCATGTAACTTAAGGTAATATCATGACAATCCGCACAGGATGTATATATGCCAATAATAGACTGACACATTTTAGTCCTAAATATCTATGGGAAGATTCTTGATGGAGTTTTGTTTCTCTGAGGTGGACGGTTTGGTCCTGGAGCTTTCATTGTTCTTCTGAATGATATCATTAGCACAAACTTCGGGAACAAAACTCCATCAAAATCACCCAACTGAGCTACAAATCTTCTCCACCATCTCAGAAATTATATCTTCTATAAGTTACGGTAATTATGGTCTAGATTGAAATTTATGAGATAAAATGTGATTGGTTGTTCCTAAAATTAATTTTTCATGGATGGTTTTTTTGTTTTGTGAAGACAAATTTCAAACAAATGCTGCATTATATCAATAACTAAATAATCTTAATTAACAGATAAAACATATTTTTCTCTCAGAAGGGGTTTTTGTGGAGATTCAGTATTTTCATAGTTAAAATCATAAGTTGATTGAAGCTAGACCACCATGGAAAACCTGGAAGCACTGAACGGCCGTTTCGTCCTATTGTGAGACTCCTCAGAAGTGCGCATCCATGACCTCGCCAAACGAGATTCGAACCCAAGACTTACCAGTCTCACACCAGAGCCCTTAACCGATAGACCACTGAGTCGGCATCCGATGGTGTTTATGTCTAACTCCAACCAATCCACGAAGTTGAGCAACAGTTCACCAATTGTATTCAGTGAATTCCTATCTCACAACAGACGTGGTTTGAACTCCACTGGTCACTGCTTCTCAGTGGTAGGTCCTGGGTTCTAATCTCGCGAGGCGAGGTCTTGGATGCGCACTGCTGGTCCAGTGTTTCCAGGTTTTCCATGGTGGTCTAGCTTCAATTGACTCAACCTTCCAACTATGAAAATACTAAATCTCCACAAAAACCCCTTCTGATAATAGTTGTACTTTGTCAGGCATTATAATCTTACTTGACAATGATACCATGTAAATAACTGAACTTATGATGAATGTACCATTAAAAAAATACACCTTTATTATTCTAGTTTATGCAAGTGGTTGAAGCTGCTGTTGAAGCACGTAAAGTACATATACTTCAACAAGATACATTAAATACAGAAGCAAAAACTTATAGTTTCCCAGTTGATTCTCATTTATCACAATTAACTATACAAGTAACAAATCATCGACGTGATCAAGCAATCAATGTGAAAATTCGTAATCCTGAAGGTAATTCTAATCAATTATTATTACTATTTCTTTATTTATTACCTTGGAAAAGACAGGAACAAAGAGTAGCATGGTTAGATTCTCGTCAACTGCTTACAATTTGTTATGTTTAAAAAAAATCAGAATAAAGCGAATTGAAGACACTTACAGAAAGGATTTCGTCGAGACCTGAATTTATAGACGACCTTTGAACGAATCTGAAGTGACCATGAGAAATATCAGTCAATCAAAGAACATTCGATATAGAGTGAAAATAGATAGTACAAAATCAAAGAATTAAAGTGGATACGCTTCATTTACATGGTCCAAAAAATTGTCAAAGAAAGAGGTTGAAAGGTTTTAAAATCTTAATGCATACGGTAGAGGAACTCATCCATATGACTCCATAATAATCGATCCCTGGAGCCATGATAATATTGCAAAATCGCTCTCAGCCTCGACCACACAGCCTCAATATTGTTTGTGTGTAGTCCGAATGTGTAAGCTTGTCATTTTTATTAATCATATATCCCTAGAATACTCATACCACTGAACAGCTGAAGCTTCAGTGACATCTATGAATATGGCAGCCAATGTTACTGGTGCTTTTATTATACGGTTCGCGGCAATTATTATAATTCGCCTTAGTCTCACTCTAGTTTGAGTGAAAAAGATTTCTATCCTAGTATACTTCTTCCTCCAACATATATTACATCGAAAGACAACATCACGGTAGTCTGCACAAGGTCTACAAATCATTTGATTACCGCAATTACAAATAAAGGAACTTCTTAGTAGTCACATTTATTGTAGCTACTTAATTGTCACGTCTTCTCTAAAATCCTCTGTGAACCGATCGTACAGAAGCATCAGGTACTGAAAGTGGAGTCGTGACCTTGAAACCTCTAAAACGCTTCTGATGGGCTCGTCCATAATATATAGTCTTGTCAGGATTTCACCTTAAAGTTATTTCCAGCATACAGCATAGAAAAATTAGAAAATTTCCATCTTAATTAATGGATACAAGATTATATTATTTAATGCTGTGCAAATTCGTAGAAGATTATGAATTTAGAGGCCTTCAAATGATAGTGTGACATTATTCCATGTGGTCATTGTTGGTCTGATCCATATTGTTTAACGAAAACAATCTGGTTGATAACCAAGATCAGGAGTAGGCTGACGCCATACCGAATCGGTGATAATGACTCAGATTTTCAGTTCCAGTATTCCTGTATTTCTTGAATCGTATATTTACTTCCTAGTTTTTCTCACTATCATTTCTATTACACTATTTCGGTCACTCAAATGTGTTCACATCGCGTTTCTATGGTAAAGGAATTTGGGCTGGCAAATTTATGTTGAGCTCTACTTTGAGTATAATTTACAAATTGAGTATATTATCTAAATTATTAATATATTTACTTACTTACTTATGTCTGCTACTCCCAATGGAGTATAGGCCGCCGACCAGCATTTTCCAACTAAATCTGTCCTGGGCCTTCCTTTCTAGTTCGATTCAATTTTTGTTCATTCTTCTCATGCCTATCTCCATTTCTCGGCGTAATGTGTTCTTTAGTCTTCTTCTTTTCCTTTGGATTAATATACTTTTTTTTAGAATACTTTGTTTATAGTAACTTTAAACTGAATGCTTATCATTCTAAGAAGTGGTAACAAGCTTTTGGTAAACAAAGAGGATCTCTATACAAACCCCTTTAATATTTGTTAGTTTTTATTGTTTTTAATTTTCTAATCTCCACCCCCCCCCACCCTCCTTAAATCAATATTTTTATTTATCAGGTAAATTAATCGATAAAGATGATGGTTTAAAACAATTAATGAAAACTGTAAAATCTGTATTTGTTGGATCAATTGATCGACCTAAATCAGGTCAATGGACATTAGAAGTTGGTATTGATACAGAAGAAAATGATATGGAAACAACGGATCTGAATGACAATGATGATAATAATAATGATAACGATAGTAATTTACAACGTGAACGATGGATTTCTGTTCGAGTATCTGGTATAAGTGATGTTGATTTTTTACAAGGTTTTTCAACAACACCAAAATTATATAATTATGGAGCATCAACACAACCGATTGCAGGTTTGTTTGAATAGTTTTTCTTTTCGTTTCTTTGTATTTTTAATTATTTGAATTAAGGACTATTTAAGTGAACAATTAATTATAAGCAAAAATGGATAGTGGCTAGCTGTGGAATCCAGTTTGACGCGTGTTTCGTTCTATTTGAGACTCGCCAGCTAGATGTATCTGCATCTCAGAGTTGATGTTCACTCTGGGACTCGAACCTAGTATCGCTCACTTCAAACACCATCGCGTTATCCACTTAGTTCCTGAGTCCTGATAGCCACATGCTTGTGAAATGGGTGAAGTTCAAATTTGCTTGGTATTGTCTGCTTGAAACGCGTTTCCTGGATTCCACTACTAGCCACTGTCTATCTTTGCTTAGAATACTTGTGAATTAGGGCAATATCGAGGCAATACTTATTTTTTTAGTTAGGGAAAATACATTTTTACAAAACTGAATAGATTTCAGTTGTCTAGTGGTATGTACTTTAGATAATGATCAAAATGGCATTCCAATATATTAGTGAAGTAGTTATATTTGTATTGGTTGTTTGAATCTTCCTAATGATGTTCAGGACTACAATTAATTCATTCAGCTCTGTTTGTAATTCTTGTGACATAGTGGCAATATCGAGGTAATCCGTACAGGATGCATACATGCGAATAAGAGACTGAATGATTTCAGTCCTAAACATCTATATGAAGATTCAAAGAAATTATAAAAAAATAAATATAAACTTCACTTCATTTCACAAGCTAGTGACTCGGTAATCAAGTGGATAACGTGACGGCGTTTGCAGCGAACGGTAATGGGTTAAAATCACAGAATGATGTAAGTACATCTAGCTGACGTGTCTCAAATATGATGAAATACACGTCCTGTATTGCATTGCTAGCCTCCATCCATTTCAGTTTAATCCTACTCTTTATCAGTTATAAGAAACCACTTCAATGAATATGTCACTTCAAGCCCTTAGTGTTCAAAAAGATGCTATCAATGCAACATATTAAAAATGTAACCAAACATGGTATTAATTTATTTTTATGAAATCAATCTGTTGATGTAGATTTCAAACAGTCAAATTACTTACTTATTTTAAGTATCTGTTAATAGTTGAAATCATAAGTCAAGTGAAGCTAGACCACCATGGAAAACCTGGAAGCACTAGACGGCCGTTTCGTCTTATTGTGGGACTCCTCAGCAGTGCGCATTCATAATCCCACCTAGCTTCAATTGACTAATGAATTCAACTAATAAAATTACAAGTATTTTTATCATTAAAAGACACTATTGATAAGGTTTAGAATAAAAAAAATTATGTAAGACTTATAAGGTTAACACAATACAAATCTAATCTGTTGAAATCATTCTTCAATCTGTAAAAAAAAGGTGATTTTTGACACTCTTACCTCCTAGAACTAGCTACATCCTATGTAACTATAGCTGATAAAAAGGAAATGTTTAGATAAGTGAACCATGTTTTATTCTAACGATCAAAAAATAAAAAAAACTTCTTAAATAGTGGATAATGATACCATTATGGACAACTGATGCGTGTTAAATGAAACCCTTAACTCATACTGTGGTGTGATCTACTTATATCCATATAAGTAGTATATGGTGTGAGTCAGACATAGAATGTATTTTCGCAGAAGACCGATGACGAAAGAACTGAAATTTTAGCGCAATAGGTAGGAAAATGCACGAACAATGGAATTAGAGAAGAAACAGTGAAGATTGAGACTATTGGTTGTTAATTTGCAAATTGACTGTACATTGTATGGTTTTCAGAATTTACTGAGATAGTCTGTAATCTTTGCTTAAATACATTCGATTGTCCCCAACTAGTGTTCTGTTCACTACAATACGACTCAGATAAGAAGACAAAGAATGATAGTATATGAAGATTTTATCTATCCTCTTAAAACAAGACAATTTTTCAATCAAAATATACTCATTTATATATTGATAATTACTTGACGAATATCATATATCATCAAAATATGGGTAATACAAAACGTAGATGTTATGATGAACGAAATTCATATTAAGTTAATGCAAAGAGTAATACATGAAATAAATGTAACATTAGAATCAAACCAATGTTACACTGAACAGTTGTTATATTGAAATGAAATGAATAAAATACTTAGCAATTATCTATTGGATACATCTAGAAAATTCCTTTAAAATATGCCCAAAGGAGCCTTACAAACGTTGGGAGATATTTTATCCAATCAGAATTCAATAGAAATATCTCAAACACATCTAGAAAATAAAGATTCACTTGTCACTTTTCTTACTGGGCGATTACTTAACTTACTACTATGTTTAGTAGGGTTTCAGAACTTTCCGAAGGTTCAATGTCATTTGAAATACTATAAATACTCTCGATTTCCTGTACATAAACTAACCTTAGAATAAAGCATTCTTTCCATATTTCACACCTTTTCTTTCATGTTCTAGTTATCGTGTCGAGTTAACCTGAGGTAATTAGAAGAGCTTAGGAAACCAATTCAAGCATTCAGTTATATTTATAATTATCTCATTTAATTTTGTTTCAAAAAAATTTTTCTACAGGTGTTCAAAACTATATTATGGTTAATATGACTGGAAGATTTCTACCAGGACAAGTTGATCATTTTGATATGCGTAGTTCAAATGGTTCATCAATTATACGATTACCTGTACAACAAACGGATAAATTTCAAATATACGTTAGTCAACAAGCAATGGAACCAATTACGGGACATTATTATCTTGAAGTATGTTTAATCCAAATGAATTTTGTGTTATAGAGAAGAAGAAAAAAAAAGTACCTATACAGAAATATTTTCTTAAAACTAGTACAAAACGATTGAAATAATGTTAATTGGTATATTTGTAGGAATTTCGCCGTCATCATCACCGCCATCATCATTATTGTTTGTTATTTTTTTTCAAGCAAGCAAATGTCATCCTAATTTTGGTTAAAAATAACTAAGATTATAAGCAAAGATGAATAGTGGATAGCAGTGGAATACAGGATGAGCGTTTCGTCTTATTTGGGACTCGTCAGCTGGATGTATCTGCATCTCAGAGTTGATGTTTGCTCTGGGACTCAAATCCAAGTACAAGTATTTATGAAGAGTTGTCTAAACAAGATACTCAATGTCCGTCAGCAACAGCCCACTACTACTTCTGTGGAAGATAACAAACCATCAACCATAATGAAAACTCTTGAAATATGTAACCATCAAGTTACTCAGTAATCTTTCATAGATATCACCTTAACTATATTATTTCACTGTGAAACTAAAATGTATGCTTACTATTAAGCATCATAATTGAGTAGTCAGTAATTTTTCAGATATGAGATCTTCAAATACATTATACTAAAAAGAAAACACTTTAATTTAAGCAAAGATGGATAGTGGATAACAGTGGAATTCACGACCCGCGTTTCGTCCTATTTGGGACTCGTCAGCTGGATGTACCTGCATCTCAGAGTTGATGTTCACTCTGAGACTCGAACCCAGTACCTATTGCTTTAAACTCCATCACGTTATCTACTCGGCAACTGAGTCCTGATAGCCACTTGCTTGTGCAATGGGGTGAAGTTTAAATTCACTTAGTATTGTTTATTTGAAACACACATCCTGGATTTCACTGCTAGCCATTATCCATCTTTCCTCACAATCCTTGTGAATTTAGGCTATATCGAGGCAATACTCAAAGTATGCACATACGCCAATAAGAGACTGATCAATTGCGGTCAGTCAGTCAGTCATTCAGCTACAACTTAGGACCAGGCACATATATGCATCGGTGGAAGTTGCCATACCTCGTTAGCAAAAGATGAACACCGGATTCATAGAAGTAGTTAATTTAATGGTGGTAATATATAAAAGAGAGATTATATATGAGGATATAGTATAGGAAGAAAGACAGATATGAAGCAGTTTTAATCTCAAGGTTTAAGGGAAGATAAAGAGTGTATACACTTACGCCATTGTGATCGATTCTGAGCCATGTCACACACAGTCTACAACTATTGGTTACGATAGTCGCGCAACCTACCTCTAACAGCACTTATCAATTATAGTCTTAAACATATATGGGAAGATTCAAACAAACAACACCAAGTGAATAATTAAGATTGTTCAAATGTAACTATTATTAAATTAAATTCGACTATTTTAAAATATATAGAAATGTAGCTAATTAATCAAAACAAAAAATTCCAAATTCAACAGTATACTACTGAATTAGGTATTTGATTTAAATAAATAGGATAAAGAAGATCAAATATATCCAAGTGATATTATCCTATTTGCACAGACAATTTGATTTTGTATTGTAAAGCATCTGATCCTGATAGTGACGCACACGCTTTCTATACATACACTCATAAAAGCTTTTGAATACGAAGACTTAGAGCTAAAAAGGAGCTTTTCACTGTCACATATTCTTATAAATAGGCTTTATTGTTCTTTATAATCTTCTCCTGTAGCTCTCTTAGAGCTACTGCTGCTCTCAAGCAAGAGTAAAGGAAGAAGGTTGGGCGTGGGGTCAGCAACCTCATCCCGTAGAAAACAACCTTACTAAAAAAAAAAAATGCTAACTAGAATAAACAATTTGTTCCTTAGAAGAAAAGTCTTATCTTGGCTATTCTCATGCGCTTGATAGTTGGTCTGCTGTATCAAATAACAGAGATGAATTTAATTACATAGTTAAATAAACTGTTATCAGTGAATTTCTATATCATCAAAGTTGTGTCAATATCAAAAGTAATAGATACTGCCTTATCATTTTCATAGTTCTGAACCAGAGTAAATAGGGATTTTGAAGTACGAAAGGAAGTTCCATTTAGTCTTAGTAATTGTATATGAGGAACGGTTAGGTTTAATAGTAATTTTAATGAGTGAATTTTGGCAAGAAAACATTAATGTTACTACCGAATAGCACCCAATGTGAGACAACAGAAACTAAGACGAATTCAATAGGTTCAAATTAGTGTAAGAAGGAAAAATCACGGTTTGGCTATGGTGATTATCATATAAATATATGTAAAATAGTGCTTGGTAAAGACATTGACATTATATACAATTAATGACTGAATTGACTACAAAAATAGTCAAATAAATTGAGATCATGGAACGATCAATGTTAGACCATCATTGAAAATCTGCAAACATTGGACATACGTTTCGTCCTAGTATGGGACTCCTTAGCAGTGCGCATCCATGATTCCGTTTACGGGATTCGAACCAAAGATCTCCGGTCTTGCGCGCGAGCGCTTTAGTTGACTCATGAGGTCAACCATTAAACTTCTACAATTTCCACAAAAACTTCCTTCTGATAATAATCATAATGTACTCACTAGTGACTGGCTTCAAGAGGTATTTCCTGGAGTTCTAGTAAGAAGCCGTGACAAGTGGAGTCCAATCAAGTTTGTTATGACATAGTAACTCACTGAAGACAATGGTGGAAGGTGACGAAATTTCGTGGATTGGTTGGAGTTAAACATTAACACCGTTAGACCTCAGCTCATTGGTCTACAGGTTAAGTGTACACGCGCGAAACTGAAAGATCTGGCTACCAATCCCACATGCGGAATCGTGGATGCACACTGCTGAGGAGTCTTATACTAGGACAAAACCGCCACCCATTTATTCCGGGTTTTCCATGGTGGTCTAGCTTTAGTTGACTCATAAACTCAACTATTAAATTACTAAAATCTGCACAAAACCCCCTTCTGGTAACTGTTTAAAGGAATATGATCATTCAGTTAGCATTGAATCAGGCAAATAAATTGAAGAAACTCAATCCAATGGGTTCTTTTTTAAATTAGCGTACAGTTCATAGATTGTAAGAAGTTGACAATCATTCGATTTTTAATACAGACGGTGGAAGATAGCCATTTCATTATAGCTAATTGATTGAGAATTATCTCAACCAGGCAAAACAAAAGCTTCGGATTAGTTTGTCCATGATACACTTCGAACAGGTAAATTAGGTATTGTAATAATGGTTATTCATTAGTAACAAAAATCAGTTAGATCTCACACATAGTACTTATCTAAAGTAAATTCTGTATGATTTTCAATGTTCAGGGTTCATTTTCCGTGAAGTTTCTAAAAGATTGGTACTTTCATCGATTTTTTCCATAACAGGCTTTGTTTATAACAGGTTATCTACAATTAAATAGAGATGAATTTAAAGTTACATCACAAATCAGTAATCACTATTCCTACTACTCAATAAATCGGCTATATCTAGTTACATTACTGGAAGTAGTGTTGTATATGACTGTTTAAAAGTACCACATTTAAGAGTGATGTACAAGTTAGTTCTATGTTGTTCTGATATAGCCTTTTCTTTTGCTTCTATGTATATAGATCTTGATGTTGGTTTGTTCTCTGAGTTGGATGGTTTGGTCGTGGAGCTTTCATCGTCTTTCTGAACGACATCATCAGCACAAACTTCGGGTAGAAGTGAAGTGTTTGAATTTCTCCATATGTGATTCACAGCTTGTCATCTGCACCTCGATGTTGATTGGTTCTTATTGACCTTAAATCTGTCATTGTTTATTTCTTTGTTTTGGTTGTACAACAGTTTGTGCTGATGATGTTATTCAGAAGGACGATGAAAGCTCCACGACCAAACCATCCAACTCAGAGAACAAACCTACATCAAAATCACCCACCTGAGCTACAAATCTTCTCCACCATGTATATAGATCACTAATCGTGAACCACTTCTTGGTACAAAAGAAAAACACTTTTCATCGTAGATGAATAAAGAATAATTAGGAACTATAACATCCATTCTAAAGCATTTAGATTATTTATTTAAACACATAAATATTGGTTCAAAGTGGCACCAGATATATATGCGCCACATAAATCCCATTTGTGAGGGCTGTGATACTGCCCAGGTTCCCAAACCAAAACAGGTGGTTTTCTTAAGGGGCCACACCCGGAGCCTTCAACATAAAGATCTGGCCCACAAGGCAGTGGAGCATCGTAAGAAGATGCAGTCCTATGGTAGCCGGTCACCAACGATTGATTCATACGATATTTGTTCCCTCAGGATACTAGAGCCCATGTACACCATTGATTTGGAATCAGGGTTTTCCAACTCCCCTAGGTGAACTTTTCGTGTCCACCAACCCATTTTAAGCGCCGGACAACCTCTTTTCGTCTTCTTAATTTCGTAAGCGACACCCCACCATAAGAATGCAGTGAGTAGGACTTCCCTGGCACAGATTATATACGTGTGGCCATGTGGGAGCATTTCGGGAAGGAGAGCAGACTCTCAACTCTCGGCCGTACCAGGGCATTTGGGGGCGACAACTTCATAGCTTTGAATGTATCTTTCAATTTTATTTACAAGGACAAATCCACCTTAACTAAGTGTCTATATGTTCTAATATTTTCAAATTAGCCTAATAATTCATTTACGAATATATACTCTACAAAATGATAACACTATTCTTTTTATGATTAATATAAATTTATAAAGGTATCTGGACGAGATGGTCAAGGTTATCCATTTCAACGTTGTTCTAAAGTAGCATTATCATCTAGACAACCACAACAAATTGTTGTTACATGTCCAGCACAAATTGATATTAGAAGAGGAGCTACAGCAGAATTATCATGTTCTGTAACAAGTGAAATTCCATATACAGTAAAATGGTTTAAAGATAAACAACCACTTACAGGATATCATGATGAAAATAAAGTTTATAAGTAAGTATATCACATATTATTGTATATTATAATAAAAGTAATCATAATGAATGATCAGAAGGGGTCTTTGTGGAGATTTCAGCATTTTTTAAAGTTGAAATCATATGTCAATTGAAGCTAGACCAATATGGAAAACCTGGAAGCACTGGAAGGCCATTTCGTCCTATTATGAGATTCCTCGGTGGCAGTGCGCATCCACGACCCTGCACTCACGAGACTCGAACCTAGGACCTACCAGTCTCGAGCTACAGCCCTTAACCGATAGACCACTGAGGTGGCCGGCATCCAACGGTGTTAATGTATAACTTCAACCGATCCACCAAGTTTGAGCAACCGTTCACCAATTGTCTTCAGTGAGTTGTTATCTCACAACAGACGTGGTTGAACTCCACTGGTCACTGCTTCCCACTAGAACTCCAGGACGTGTATCTTGATGTCAGTCACTAGTGAGCATATGATTATAATCAATGATTAATGAATGAATTAATAGTTAAGTTCATGGATGTAGGTCTACTAAAATTTGTCTAGATTTGATCCCGCATCACTATCTTCACAATCAGAGACGTTACCACTGAGCTATTCTGGCTGTGGCTGACCTCCTGTAGGACTGAGATGTATTTACAATCGATCGGTAGGATTTAATATGCACTAAGAAAGACCTGACACACACATGACATTGAACACTATGCAGTAATCAATAAACTGTAAAGAAAATAACTACTGGGTAAAAAAATTTATTTGTACTGAGTTAGTTACGGCATTGCACAAACGTCTTTAAGAGTGGAGAATATTCTTGAGTTTATACTACCATAATCTTTTATTGTCTAATTCGGAACTCTTTACTACCAGTAAAATTACTGGAAATTTCAAGTCACCTTAACCTATTGCAGATATCTTTGTTCTTATGGTAATAGAATATATATCACCTGATGTCAGGTTTAATTTTATACTTCCAATGGTAGGTTAATATTACATTTATGTGTCTGTAGAATAAAATGTAAATCTGAATTCACTTTGTATTGTTTACTTGAATCTAACCATTGATATTTAGGACTGTAATTGATCAATCTCTTATTGGCATATGTCAATCCTGTGAGGACTGCCTCGATATTGAATTAGATCACAAGCTTTATAAACAAAGATGGATGGTGGCTAGCAGTGGAATACAGGAAGCGCGTTTCATTTTTGCGACACGCCACCTGGATGTATCTGCATCTCAGAGTTGATGTTCACTCCAAGACTCGAAATTCAGTACCATTTGCTTCGAACGCCATCTTGTTGTCCACTTAGCTAATGAGTCCTGATAATCACTTGCTTGTGCAATGGGATGAAGTTTAAATTCACTTAGTATTGTTTGTTTGAATCTTCACATTGACGTTTAGGACTGCCGGTACATTCAGCTGACGAGTCCCAAATAGAACGAAACGCGCGTCAAACTAGATTCCACTGCTAGCCAATATCCATCTTTGCTTAAAATGAAAATCTTTTGTTTTAAATTTTGTTTTGATGTATTTCGTCATAGAAATTAACAAATTCAGCGAATTATATAATTCTATATATAATTATTATTGTACTTCAGCTTCCCAACTAATGTATTGTATACAATTACTGATGTCAATGAAGAATCACATGGAATTTATTCGGTAGAAGTAATGCCTACAGTTAGTGATAATGAGAAAAAGGTTGAAGGTCAATATAAGGATGAAATATCTGTGAATATATTACGTAAGTTCAGGTTTCTATAAATGTAATCATATTGACCGAGCAAGCAATTTTTAGATGATTTTATTGTATTATTATGAATACAATGATAGGTGGGAATCGGTAGGAAACTAAGGACCTGCATTTAATACTAGTTAAAGCTTGTAAACATGGTAAACGTGTAACATCAAGAGATCTAATGGTCCCTTAGGATCACTGTGTCGTATTCAGAGACATTACCACTAAGCTGTACAGACCTTCTGTATGAATGCGATATTTACTCCAATTCAATATTGAGTGGTAACCAATGTCATACCTGTCTAGTCCTTACTATTAATTCACTCGCACTGATCAAACTACAATACGACCATAAATCATTACAGAAGATTAAAAACCAATACATACATCATTGATAAGAGATCAGTCAATGTAATCACTCATGTGGATTACTTACCTTTAAAATGTCAATCAGGATGTTCTGTCTAAAGTCGATGGATTGGTTTATCAGTAATACTAAATAGAAAATTAAATATTATTCATTGCATAAAACTTTGTAAGGTTACCATGCAAAATAGCATATTCACAAAATTTCGAAGCGTTCTCACTCAGCCAGTCAGTCACAACGTAGAACTTTATACGTACATACATCAGTTCGACTTGACATATCAAATTAGCACAGAGATGCGGTTGTCGATTTAAATACCATAGTGGTAGAAGTAGTAAGAGTATAAGCAGTAATCCAAAAGATTAGGGTTTGAATATGTTATTCAAGGAGTATAATACAGTGAAATAAATTTGAAAGATAAAAAAGATAGAGACTTAAAGAATTCAGAAGACTAAAATTCGGGAGAACACAAAGAGTGGATTCACCTTCTCCATTGCAAACGATTTTGAGCCATGTCACTCAAGGTCTCTAATCATCCGTTGTTATCATCTCGCGAATCTCAACCAGGTAGTATACACCGGCGAGACTATACTATACGAACGACCTTTGAACGAATCTTAAATGACCTTGAGAAATATTAGCCAATCAGAAGGCAGCTAGTATACAGTAAAAATATATTATACAAAACTCAAAATTTAAAGGGGATACTGTTCTTTTATACGACTCAAAAACTTATCAAGATTAGATATCGGTTCAGAAGTTCTAAAATCATAGTGCATCCAGTACAGGAACTCATTCATGCGGCTCCATAGTAGTCGGCCTCTGGAGCCATGATAAGATCTCAAAAATTCTTTCAGCCCCCACCATATAGCCTCAATGTTGTTGGTGTACACCCCAGTTGTAGGGTCCACAAAATGGCGCTTGTGTATGACAACTTCATGCACGTAGCCAAGTCTACTTAGGCACCTGTATGCTCTCTAATCATCTGTATACACCATAGTGCCCGGCAGCACATATTGCTGTATAATCTGTATTATTGTTGGTGCCTGTCGGTTCCTGACTCGTTGGAAATGTCCTTTTTGTAGTGATCTGCCATAGATTTCAAGGACCTGTGAGGTATATTTATGGAAGAGGTACTTACCCAATCTTCTTCAATACTACGGCCACGGTTGAATTTTCGTTTCCTTACAACTGTTTCGTCTATTTCAACGATATTCCCTACTCCTCCATACGATTCGTGTACGCTTGTCAATTTTGTTGCACATATTTCTCGACAATACTCGTACCACTGAACTGCCGAAACTTCACTTACATCAGCAAACGTGGCAGCAAGTGTAACTGGTGCTTTTACTATCCAATTTGCAACAAATATCATAATTTGACTTAACCTTAATTTTGATCGAGCGAAAAAAGTTCCTGTTCGGGCTGATTTTTTCCTCCGACATGAAGAACATCGAACGATAATATCATCACGGCAGTCTGCACACCGTACAGCGGTCATTTGACTCCCTTCTCTTGTAGACGCTGAATTATCACGTCTTCACTAAAATCTGATGTAAATCGATCGTGCCTAAGCATCAGGTACCGAACTTAGCGCCGTGACCTTGAAAAACCGCGAAAGCTTCTGATTGGCTCGTCCATATAGTTTAGTCTCGCCGTCTACACCTACCAACATGGCTCAGTTCACTTGTCAGTGGCTTCATGGATTTGTGCCACGTTTTGATCTGGCCGCCCCTAGCTTTCTTCCAACCTACTCTTACACCATAAATGACGCAAGTTGGCGAAAGCTGGTCGAGCCTTCTGTATCTATGCTGAGATTTCGTCACACACCAGTCCATAAGAGCTGTTGAGACTCCCAAGATAAGTGAAGCGGTCAACACGCTCAACTACTTCACTCCCTATCATTAGTTCAGGTGCCGATGCAACCCAATCCTGAAGTAACTGAGAAGCGTTCTCAGTAGGTAAAATATAACATTCTGCATAATTCCGCATAAAATAAAATATCTAAAGAGTAAAATCTTTTAGTTCGCGTGGGTGCCAATGTTGTATTTTGATAAAATTTAGGGTCAAGATAATTTATAGTGAAAGAATATGTCGTATCGGTTGTTATGTTAAGCGCACATAGCTTATTCTAGCTTCCAAACAGATCAATTTATCCATTCTTCTTGAGTCACATTTTGACTTTGTTAATTATTCGCTTATCAAAGTTGACTGCTTTTATATGAGCGTATGTGTGTACACTTCTAATACTATTCATCACATGTCTGTAACTTATTTTTATCTGGCTATAAATGTTGATTAACGTTTGATTAAATGGAGTTGGCTTACGTGCGCGTCGTTTCGCTTGACTCTCTTTTCTCTGCTTCCTTCACTTCGTCTCTCTGATTGCCTGCCCAGATCAATGAGTGTACAAAATATGTGTATTCAAAAATCCATCCTCGTATTTGACTTATTTAATTCCGTTATTCACTAACGTGATTTAAGTCAATAATTATATACGGGGATTGACGATATGTATATTTCAATAGCAATCATTCTACAATATAACTGGATTCAGATCTACAGCCACTAAAAATATACACTTGATAAAATGATTCTTATTAAACTCAGATTATGGATAGGCGTATAACCAAGGACTCGCTTTTCGGTTTCTTTGATACTTATCAACCGAATTTATCTGCATCCGAATGTCGCTCATCACTCTGGGATTCAAACCCAGTGTTTATTGATTCAGAATCAAGTCCACAAACAAGTTTACAATCGAATTTAACTGTTAGACACAATCTATGTATTACCAAGATCTCTTCCATAAATGTAACATTGTGTCGATTTTCTTAGGATGAACATTTCCCAGTAGTAACTAACCAGTTGAAACCTTTAATATGAGCAGTGCGAGAACTCATGCCCCTACGTATTAATGAACTGATTGTTTATCAAAATTCTTTCATAGAGTACCAACGCAAAAGATTATCTTGAAACTAAAACTTATTTAAAAGTCAACAGAAAATTTTGTTTATTTACTTGTGGTTCAGTAATAAGATGTGAATTATTTAGTTAACGGACTTGTGGAGATTACTCTTTGTCTATGACTGACACCATTAGAAACTAGAGCTTCATGAACAATGATCCAGTTTTATTTGAGGTGCATACTTCTGTTGAATCCCAAACTTGGACAAAATAACATGTATTATGAATGTTACAATTTTGTGACTAAAACAAGAATTGAATAAGCAAAGATGGATGGTGGCTAGCTGTGGAATACAGGACTCGAGTTTCGTCCTATTTGAGACCCATCAGGCTGACGAACCTGCATTCTAGAGTTATTGTTCACTCTAGAACTCGAACCCAGTATCATTCACTTCAAACCCTGTCACATTATCCATTTAGCTACTGAGTCCAGATAGCCAATTGCTTGTGCAATGGCGTGAAGTTTTAAATCCACTTGGTGTTGTTTACCTGTATCTTCCGAATGCATCACATCATTGCATAAGCAGGTGACTATCAGAACCCAGTAACTAAGCAGATAACAAGATAGCCTTTGAAAAGAACGGTTTTTAGTTCGAGCGTCACAGTGAAATTCAACTCTGAGATTCAGGTACATCTAGGTGACGAGTCCCGAATAGGACGAAACGCGTGTCCAGTATTCCACTGCTAGCCATCATCCATCTTTGTTTATAATGCTTTTGATTTAATTCAATATTGAGGCAGTCCTCACAGAATGTACATATGCCAATAAAAGATTGTCATAGTTGAAATCATGAATCAATTGAATCTAGACAACCATTGAAAACCTGGAAGCACTGGACGATCATTTCGTTCTATTATGTGACTCCCCAACAGTACTCATCCACGATCCCAACTCGCGAGATTCGAACCCATGACCTACCAGTCTCGCGCCATAGCACTTAACCGATAGATCACTGTGACGTCATCCGATGGTGTTAATGGTGAACGGTTGCTCAGATTTCGTGGATTGGTTGAAGTTAGACATTAAAAAAAATAAGACGAATACCATTTTAAGGAATGATTACATTAAATTTTAAAAAAAAAATATCGATCTAGCTTCTATATTTCGAAAGCTTTTGTGAATTCCTTACACTCTTCTGATATTGTTTAATCATAAAACAATGAATAAGGTAACAAGTTAATGTTAAAGCCTTTGTCCATCTACCAAAGTATACTACTTATATTAAAAAAAGTAGTTTTAGTTATACTTTTAAATGTAACTATCAGATTTCATTTCATACAGGATAATTATAAAACTTTTTTTTTAAAATTTTTTTTATTACAGCACCTCCTCCTCGTGTTTTAATACCACGTAATGCAAGTGTTGAACCTAGAACAGATGCAATACTTACTTGTAATATATTTAGTTTAAATGAAAATATTGAAGTAAAATGGTATCGTGGTTTAGATCCAAGATTTGAATTAAAAAATGGACGTCGTCATACAATTAAATTAAATCAAGATACACCAGCAGGTGGTTTAGCATCAGCTTTTACAAGTACTTTAACAATAAGGTATGTTATGTGTTATAATATGAATGTAATTTACAATGGGCTACCAATTTTATTCAATAATATTCATAAAATTAAAAAAAAAAATATTATTGGAGTCGACTCATAGAGACTTCATATTTTTTTTACTTACGCTTGTTACTTATCCTGGAGAAACATAGGCTGTTAACCAGAATTCTCAATCGAACTCTGTCCTGGACAATCGTTTCCAGTTGTTTCCAGTTGCTATTCATCCTTTTCATGTCTGCTTCCAATTCCCGACGTAGTGTGTTTTTCGACCTTCATCTTTTCCGTTTCCCTTCACGATTCAAAGTTAGTGCTTGATTCGTGATACAGTTTGATGATTTTCGTAATATATGTTCTACACACCTACGAAAGCCATCATCCAGAAGATACAGGTGTTTATTAACAGCTGTCAACGCAAAATACTTCGGATTCGTTAGCCAAACACTATCAACAACAAGCTACTATGGCAGACAAAAAACCAGATTCCAGCGGAGGAAGAAATCAGGAAGAAGCGCTGGAAGTGGACAGGACACACTTTGAGGAAATCACCCAAAGGAGTCACAAGGTAAGCTCTCACATGGAATCCTGAAGGCCAAAGGAGAAGTGGAAGACTAAGGAACACATAACGTCGAGAAATAAAAACAGACATGAGAAGAATGAACAACAACTGGATGGAACTAAAAAGGAAGGTGGAGGACAGAGTGGGTTGGAGAATGCTGGTCGGTGGGCTACGCTCCATTGAGAGTAACAGGCGTAAGTAAGTAAGTAGTGTTCTACCCACTTTCAGAATCATTTCCTAATCCTCTCTTCAGTCGGAAGCTGGTTTATATTTATATTAATTACTGAAGTGTATTTGCCAGTTTGAATGAATTAATGTTCTGATTTTTTCCATCTTGAAATGTTTAACTGCACTACCACTGTGTTTTATGTTTAGACTACAAGTTACTTTAGCTTCGATATTTACTAACAGTTTTATGCCTTAACTAGGAGAAACCAGATTTAATGAATCTACCTAACAGATGACTGTATACAATAAATTTGTTGATGATGCTCGCAATATATGTAATAAAAGATGCCACAGTGATAAGCTAGGATGGTTTGATTCGGCTCATTTAAGTTTAAAATTTACATGCGACAATGAATTACAAAATGAAACGAATCTCCTGGATCTAAGGGTTTACAAAAAGTGGAGATGAGTCAGTTTCTTGATAAACAAAATGTGTAAAGTAATGGGGACTATTTCTTGTTAGCGGATTACCTTACATTATGGATGTTTCATGCAAAACGACGATTGTCAAACTACATCTTATCGCTAAGTGGAAGAGTCCTAACCCACAAATGAATATCTATGTAATGACTGAGAATACAAGTGAAGGACAACCAATTGTATTTCAATAAATAATTACAGAGTTCTTTCATAAAATATGAAAACCATCCATTAAATACTTCATTTGCAAATCCCCTGTTAATTGTCTTAATCTTCATGGTTCTTCTATTGTTATTACAATTACTCTCTGTTCTTGTTCTCTTCGATTCGATCCTCCTAACATTCTGCTGTCAAGAGTTCCACTTCTTATTGGTGTTACTACCTATGTCTGTCAACATAAGTAGAATATCTCACATACACTCTATCCTTCAATAATCTTCCTTGTTCATTCTTTATCAAAAAAGAACACTTTTCCCTTTGACAATAGTGTGCAATAACTAGGCATAATAATCAGGGTTGAATAACCAAAAATTCATATAATATAATCCTTAACATTTTATCTATCATTTTGTTAGAGAACATGACTGACATTCGTTTATACTATTCATATCAATTCTAAAGATTAATCATATATTTTGATGAAGTTTTGTTCTCTGAGCTGGATGGTTTGGTCGTGGAGCATTCATGGTCGTTCTGAACGACATCATCAACACAAACTTAGGGTAGAAGTGAAGTGTTTGAATTTCTCCACATGTGATTCACAGCTTGTCATCTGCACCTCGATGTTGATTGGTTCTTTTCGACCTTAAATCACCCACCTGAACTACAAATCTTCTCCACCTTCTCATTAATCATATATCTATATGCGAGCACACCATTCTCAATACATTGTAGTACATTTTATAATAGAGTTAAGAATGAAAGGTTTCGGTGCTTTAAAAGAAATACTGATATAAGTTAAGTGTAGAAAAGTAACTTTTAAAAGTAAGTTGACTGCTGAATATAAAGTTGAAAGGAACAAGTTAACTCAACCAACGAGTTAGTGTTGAAATTTTATTCTATTCTCTTTTGATTAAATCACAGGGTATATTCTTATGAATGTTGATACTTTTACTTACTTATCTACTTACTTACTCCTGTTACCCCTCTTGGAGGAGCATAGGCCGCCGACCAGCATTTTCCATCCAACCCTGTCGTGGGAAAACCTTTCTAGTTCCTTCCAGTTGTCATCCATTCTTTTCATATCTGCTTCTATTTCACGGCGTAATGTGTTCTTTGGCATTCTTTTTCTCTTCCCTTTCGGATTTATAAATTTTACTCATTTCAAATTTTATTTTATAGGTCTGCTACTGAAAGCGATTCAGGCAAGTATATTTGTGAAGCTGAACATAAAGGTGGTATAAGTGAAGCGGATGGATTCCTTATTATTCACAGTAAGTACTTTTGTTAAAATGCATTTCAGATGACAAACTAAAAGAGAGGAATGTAAGAGGAAACAGTATGGTAAATAATTTTATATCTACTTCTATAATTTTGTGTACATATAAATGATTTAAAAGATATTTTTCCGTTATGGATGAATAACGACTAGGAAACTATTAAATGAAGTAAGACACTTATACCATTAGATGCCGGTACAATGGTCTACAGATTAAGCGTTCTCAAGCGAGATCTAAGGTCCCCAGTTCGGACCCCGCGTGCGGGGCTGTCAATACGCGCTGCTAAGGAGTCCCATTCTAGGACGAAACGGCCATTCAATGCTTCCAGGTTTTCAATGTTGGTCTAACATTGATTGGATTATGATCTTACTTAAAACTCATCAATCTCCACAACTCTAAACTGATCAAACTATTAAAAATCAGAAGACATCATAAAGTTGTTTCATCTTACTTGAGAACCCTTACTTATCAGTAGATACCGATTATTCCAAACAGGATTAAAATAAGTTTCTTTTTTGTCTCCCAGTGAGTGCAGTATGTTAGTCTACAGAGTCTGAGTGATATAGTTCACATTTCCAATACTTCAGTCAGTTCACAATATTCATGATATCTAATTAGTTTTTAACATCAGAATAAAATACCAATAGTTTATCTTGCAGTTTAGAAAACACTTATTATCAATGTTTGAGTTTTGGAAATTATTCAATCATAGGTATTCAGAAGGGGTTTTTGTGGAGATTTAGTATTTTCATAGTTGAAAGCGTAAGTCAATTGAAGCTTGACCACTATAGAAAACCTGGAAGCACTGGATGGCCGTTTCTTCTTATTGTGGGACTCCTCAACAGTGCGCATCCACGATCCCACCTCGCGAGATTCGAACCCAGGACCTATCAATCTCGCACCAAAGCACTTAACCGATATATATTAACTGGGCATCCGCTCGACAACAAGTTCTAACAGAGGTGTAGCTTGTTTCATCTTTGAGCGATGTGATCATTTTAATATTGTAGTATAATGTAAAGTTATTTTTAAAAAGAAGTCAGAGACTTGAAAAAACAAACAAACAACGAATTCCCAGTTTATCTCATTCGGAATTAGGTCAAGTTGTGAAAGAACGTTAATGAATCACTAACAATCCATTGCACAAGCAAGTGGCTATCAGGACTCAGTGGCCGGATGGATAACGCAATGGCGTTTGAAGTGGAAGGTAGTGGGCTCAAGTCCCAGAGTAAACATCAACTCTGAGATGCAGGTACATCCAGCTGACGAGTCCCAAATAGAACGGAATGCGCGTCAAACTGGATTCCACTGCTAGCCACTATCCATTTTTACTTACCATGCCTGTGAATTTAGGCTATAACGAGGCAATACGCACAGTTTGCACATATGCCTATTAGAGACTGACCAGTTGCAGTCCAAAAGCTTCAATGGGAAGATTCAAACAAGCAATATTAAGTGAATATAATACTTGTTATTATCATTCTATTCATTATTTATTAAGACCGTAAATATCCATGAACCTAGATTTCGTACTAACATATGTTACATTATTTGTTTCAATATTACTACTACTACTACTACTGCTACTATTACTGCTACTACTATTACTACTACTACTACTACTACTACTACTACTACTTATAATAATAATGATAGCATCAGGAGTTGAATCTAGTTATTCTGTTATGAAACTGATCATTAACGTATGTTAATTATCCAATAAAGATACCGTTTTTTTAAGTAATATATTTCTTCTTAGTTTTTCTTCTAAATGATTTATTGTGAAATAAGAAAAAAATTGCATAGCAACTAGATGATATTACAAAACTGACCAATGAAATATGTAATAATAATAATAATAATAATAATAATAATAATAGCGTTAATTTGTAAATATAACAGTTGTAATATTGTTTGAGAGTAAATAGATTACACAAATTAATTGGCATATACATAGATGGATATAGATAGATAGATAGGTAGATAGATAGATAGATAGATAGATAGATAGATAGATAGATAGATAGATAGATAGATAGATAGATAGATAGATAGATAGATAGATAGATAGATAGATAGTGTGGATAGATAGATAGATAGTGTGGATAGATAAATAGATAGTGTTGATAGATAGTGTGCATAGATGGATAGATAGATAAATCAGAGGGGGTTTTGTGGAGAATTTAGTATTTTCACAGTTGAAATCACGAGTCAATTGAATCGTGGATGCGCACTGCTGAGGAGTCCCATAATAGGACGAAACGGCCGTCCAATGCTTCCTGGTTTTCGATGGTGGTCTAGCTTCAATTGACTCATGATTTCAACTGTGAAGATAGATAAATGTTACAACATAGTTATCCACTAATTATAAAAAATAAGATCTTCAAAAATAGACCCAAGAGTTTTGACTTTCTTAATATTCCTTCTGTTATAATAAAAGCCAATACATACATACCTTGATGTATAACTATAAAAACAAATTAGTTTCCATACATGTATCCTCAAATAAATTTGATTTCAATCTTCTTTCCCCTCTTTTTTTTGAAGTCGTTGTCGAGTTACTTAATGAAGCAGATAGAAAAGTGTAAGAATTGAAGGAAAATGAAGAATAGTTTGGTGAACAACTTTTTTTGGTCTATATTAATAAGTTACTTCATTTGAGATTTACATTTATAAGCTTTCTTGTAATTTATATGATGGTTTAGTAAGCAAAGATGGTTAGTGGCTAGCAGTGGAATCCAGATTAACGCACGTTTCGTCCTATTTGGGACTCGTCAACTGGATGTACGTGCATCTCAGAGTTGATGTTCATTCTGGGACTCCAACCCAGTACCAACGCGTTATCCACTCGGCCACTGAGTGCTGATAGCCACAGTATGCACATATACCAATTAGAGACTGATCAGTTTCAGTCCTAACACATCGATGGGAAGATTCAAACAAACAATACTGAATGAATTTATGATAGTTTAGTTGATTGTATTAATAAAGGTTTTTTAATCTACTTTTACTGATATTCAAAACTGTAAGTGATCAGTCTCTGTTACCATGTGTGCAGTTTAAGTAGGTTGTATTTATGTTAGCTTTATTTACTTGGTGTTGTTGTATCTTCCCATTGATATTTAAGACTGCATAACAACACCAAGTGAATTTAAACTTTACCCCCATTGCACAAGCAAGTGGCTATCAGGACCCAGTAGCTAAATGGATAACGCGATGGTGTTTGAAGCGAATGGCACTTATTTAAAGTCCCAGAGTGAACATGAACTCTGAGATGCAGGTACACCCAGCTGAAGAGTCCCAAACAGGACGAAACTCGCGTCCTGTATTCCATTGCTATTCACTATCCATCCTTGCTTATAAATCTGTCTATTAGTTGAAAATTTCCCATATTGTGATTTAGAACAACATATATAAGCGAACAATATTGTTTTCGATTAGATCCTCATCAGGCTTTACTGTTATATACAGTAATATTTATATGCATATACGAAACTATTAACACAATCAAGGGAGTTTATGAGACAATGATGACACTGGAATAGATTACATAACTAAACGTAATAAGTAAAGAATACAAATCGATAGTGTAATGACAGGTGTACTAGTTGTGATAAGAATATTAATGGCTTAAATCACGGTTACATAATGAGAAATAGGTCAATGATTAGAAAAAATATAGACATTGGGATTACGTTCGTAAAAATTATAAGATTACGTAATGGGAAATGTCAAGATAATGGGACTTTGAAAGGAAGAAAATTGGTAGGAGGGGGGTGAACAATAGTAAACGAAGAAAAAGTATGGAAAACAAAATCATTTATTAAAGCCAAGGGAAAGATAAGGGTGTTACAAATTTCTTATGAAAATAAAGACTTGGGTTGTTGGCTCGAATTCCTATAGCTTCTGCTATGTGTAAGAGACGAGATCGAATCCCATAAGGAAAACTAGTAGGAATACGATAAATAACTTTAAATGACTTATTTTTGTCAACTATATGACCGTTATCGATCAAGTGTAAAAGAACTGAGCTGCGTATTGTCTTGATTGCTTTAATAATTCCGTATATATATATAGAGTTGAGATCATGAGTCAATTGAAGCTAGACCACTATGGAAAACCTGGAAGCACTGAACAGCCGTTTCTTCTTACTGTAGGACTCCTCAGCAGTGCACATCCACAGATCCATAGTGGTCTAGCTTCAATTAACTCATGATCTCAACTCTATAAAATTACTAAAATCTCCACAAAACCCCTTCTGATAATTCCATATATACATGTAAATATTACTATATATTAGAGTGAAGCCTGATGAGAATCTAATAGAAAACAATATGATTCGCTTATATATATGTTGTTCTAAATTTGTTTAAATGGAAAATATATTAGATCTCATCAATCCTTTTCTTTTTGTTTAACTTCCAGCTCGTCCTGTTGTCAATACAGATGAAGAAATTGTAACATTTAAAGAAGGAAGTTCACTTATATTAAGTTGTCGTTCAGAAGGAGTACCAAAACCGAAAATTATTTGGGCATATAATAATGTACCAATTACAATATCTACTGATGATGATCAACGTATAACAGTGATTGAAGAATATTTTGTATGTTAAAATAAGACATTTCATTGTAATTATTATTTTAATACATTGAAATGTTTTTTAAGTTAGGCTACAATTTAATTGTTTAGTTTAGAAACGGATACATTAGTTTACGCCTATTACTCCCAATGGAGCATAGGCCAAAGACCAGCATTCTTCAACCTACTCTGTCTTGGACATTCCTTTCTAGTTCTGTTCACTTGTTGTTCATTCTTCAAATATCTGTCTCTATTTCTAGGCGTAATGTATTCTTTGGTCTTCCTCTTCTCTTTTGACCTTCAGGATTTCATGTGAGAGCTTGTCTTGTGACACAGTTGGGTGATTTCTTCAATGTATGTTCTATACACTTTCGGCGGTTCTTCTTGAATTCTCTCTCCACCGGAATATGGTTTGTTCTTTCCCATAGTAGATTATTGCTGATAGTGTTTGGCTAACGAATCCGAAGTATTTTGCGTAGACAACTGTTAATAAACACCTAAATATTCTGCATGATGGCTTACGTAGTTATCCAGGTTTTTATCCCATACAGTATTACTATCTTGACATTTGTATTAAAAATTATGACTTTGGTGTTGATTGATAGTTGTTTTGAGTTCTAGATGTTCTTCAATTGTTGATTCAATCAAAAGTATGAACATAGTTTATATTTACTGATTAAAATGATCAAAGATATTTTCTGGCTAGCGTTTTTTAGCGATTTAGTGTTCTGCGGGATGGGGTCGCTAACCCCATGCTCAACCCTCCTCCTTTATCCGACCTTGGAACCTGCAGTAATCCCAAAGGGGCTCTAGGCGGAGTTCTTTAGTTTCTTAAGGATGTTTTATTCAAGTCATGTTAACTAAATGAAATTACATTCATAACGTATTAAAAATAGATTAATATTATGAACGAAGCTTTAATAGAGTGATTGTAGCTGAGTTTTAATGAAATTTATTAGTCAGACTCACGTTTCGTTTTATTTCGAACTCGTCTGCTGGACGTACCTGCGTTCCAGAGTTGATGTTTGTCTCCGGGAGTTGAACTCCAGTACTGTTTACTTCAAACGCTATCACACTATCCATTTGGCTACTGACTCCTCATTTGTTTATATTTGTTAATATAATTTGAATTATAAGTCATAGTTTTGAACTTTTTATCTCATTATTGAGCTTAATAGCTATTTAAAACAGTCATTACTCCTTTCAACTAGTAGTGAGCTACTTCTTGTCCAATTTATTTTTAATAAACATGGTATTGACTACGTTTTTTTTTGATCGTAGGAATCAAGATTAATTATTCGTCCAGCAAAATCCGGTGATGCTGGCAATTATTCATGTATAGCTATTAATTCAGCCGGTAATCGTACAATCAATATTCTTGCTAACTTTATATCACCACCAAAAATTGATAAACTAGAAATATCTAGTCCATTACCGGTTGAAGGTCAAGAACAAATGTTTACATGTCATGTTACTGGTAAACCGAAACCTAAGGTAAAATGGGATTTTAATGGAAGTCCGGTAAGTTATACCTTCTTTACTTAATAAGTAGAAGATTTTGCATATGATCTTTTCAAAATGTTCATCATGTTACGCAACCATAGAATAAGAACTATGTATTTAACCCTAAATCATGAAAGTTTAGGGAGACTAGATTAAGGTTACGATAGTGTAGACCATCAACGTTGGTGATCTATGTCGAATGATTGGAGGCCTACTGGAGTTAGACGGGAACGGTCTAGCGAACAAGCTAACATCGAAGTCACACCTCAGATTGCCCCTACGACGTATCAAGGGACCATGGATGCTCTGAAGACTGTAAAACACAAAGGATGTTATTACAGGAATATATTAGTTAAAATAGATACAAGCGAAAGTAGAATCACTGCCTCATGGCCCAGTCCACGGTGTATGATTAACTGATGCGCGTTGATTGTCCTTGACCATGATGGGGATCGATGGTCTGTTCAATATTTAGTGACCCAACTGCCGGATGATTTGGCTAGGGTTCAGTGACATTTCACTGGCCCTACAATAGTCACAGTTTGTAACTGACATCAGTTGAAAAAATCTAATAAGAATAAATACTGCAGTCTGCAACTGTTTTGTTTTGCTTCAGAACCATTCATAACCTCAAATAGAATAGAGTTTAGAGCTTTGGGTTCTGGTGGTCAGTGTATTATTGTTAGAACACTGACTTGGTTTTGTAGATTTGTATTTATACTGTACTAACAATAAATACCTGTCTCACAACGTATTTCAACTACAGCATTCAAAATTATTCACTAAAATTCGATTATTATTCGGGTAAGAGGTTTATGAAGATTATTTCGGGTTACAGAAAACTCTCTTCAAAATAAAACTAATTATTTTTATAGAAGAAGTGATTCCTAATTTAAAAACGGAAGTATAGTGTCTATGACTTCTCTAGTTTGCACATATTTACCCCCCCCCTCCCCATACTTGAACTTATATTAGTTCCTTGGGGTTGAGGAAATGGGAAATGAAAAAATATTATAGTTGAAAGCGTGAGTCAGTTGAAGCTAGACCATCATGGAAAACCTGGAAGCAATGAACGGCCGTTTCATCATATTGTGGGACTCCTCCGCAGTACGCGTCCACGACCTCGCCTCGCGAGATTCGGGACTGATAGGTCCTGGGTTCGAATCTCGTGAGGAGAGGTCGTGGACGCGTACTGCGGAGGAGTCCCACAATATGATGAAACGGCCGTTCATTGCTTCCAGGATTTCCATGGTGGTCTAGCTTCAATTGACTCGTGATTTCAACTATGAAAAATACTAAATCTCCACAAAAACCCCCTTCTGAAAAATTATTAACCTATTATTTTTACTTTTAACTTAATCAGATTTTAAAATCAAACTGATTTTACACATAATGCAACCCAACATACTGAATATGATCAATGTTTAATGATAAGTGGAGAGTATCGCTTCAGTAGAGAACTAATTTTATGGGTGGAACTAGAGAACAAACATTTACTTTAGTCACATTGTATTAGAAAGAAGTCACAACTACTATTCATAAGAATAAGTCTCTGTTTGTATGAGAGAATCGTGGGCGGATTCCTCAGTGTTGTCTGTGGTTACAAGCTAGCTATTTGGAAGAGCGTCTAGAAGCAAAATTCAAGAAGAACGTTTCGTTCTGTCAGAAACTCATCAACTGCATGTACCTAGATCATGATAAACGTTAAACACCTTATGTGTCTAACCTGGCCCATCAATCTAGAGGGTAACATGTTGACATTTGAAGCTAAGATCAATGGGTTTGAGTTTCAATGTAAATATCAGTATAAAACTGACAAGTCATGTATATGAAGAAATGCGTTACCTGGGTTCTGTTGTGAGTCAGTATTCAAGATGTAGTCAGAGAGTTAATCGATTGTTTATGATGAGAATCTATCTTTAGAAAACAAATTTTAGACTTCAACAGTTCAAGGAATTGATTTTAAAGAAAGTATCTTAAAACTGAACCCACTATATAATGAAGAAAAGAGGAAGTTGTTGATCTACCTCGTCATTCACTAAGGTATCTTTTTTTCTGGACTTAACAGTATCTATGAGCATATATAAGTCAAATTAGTCATGTCATCTATCCTGAATGACATAATTTCTAGATGATAAAATCGAATGTATGAAATGCTTTGAAATGTTGCTGACCCATTTTTTTTCTTAAAACATTAAAGGTTACTAGTAGTCCAGGAATTCAAATCGATGAAGAAAGAGGAATACTGAAATTACTTTCAGTTCGTCAAGATATGAAAGGAGAATGGACATGTCTTGCTGAAAGTATCGCTGGTTATACAAGAGAATCTGTACTAATGGATGTTGGATGTAAGTTATTTTTTAATTGTTTACATTCAGAAAGAAATTATGATTGAGAATTGTTTTTTTTTCCGAATACTGCCAAGTTGTATCTCCTCATTTCCATTGCTATTTGACTGGTCTTCCCTGTCTACCACATTATCCAGACGTTCCATATACCTATAAAGAGTGTTGCTCTGTTTGTTAGAAGGTGCATCGGCCTCATGACTTCCAAAAAATTTCGGCTTTCATCATGAGACGTCATTATTCCTTCAAGTGCCAGGGCAAAGTTTAAATGGTTTGAATAATTTTTTCTGGTTAGCATATTTTAGCGAGTTAGTTTTTCTACGGGATGGGGTTGCTAACCCTATGCCCAGCCCTCCTCCTTTACCCGGGCTTGGAACCGGCAGTAACTTTAGAAGAACTACAGGCGGAGTTTGTTTTCCATGTACTGAATCTAAATGATTATCATAAGCTAGAATGCTAAAATTTCATATGATATCATATTAACAACTTTAAAACCATTGATAAACTGAATTTGTCGAACCTATCTTAGTCAGTCTCTGTGTCTTGTATTGATTCTTGGTCATTAAGGCTTATTAAGTATAGTTTGTAATCACTTGTTGCATATTGTATTGTGACTATGTCTGTACATCGTAGGTAGTTTCTGTTTGTTTTAAATTATATGAATGATAATCTGAATTAGAATGTCATGGACTTACATGCCGACATTTGATTATGAAAGATTTTCCACTATTCTCTTTAATAAGTAGCCTTAGCTACTATTCCCTTAGTTATATGTAGTTAATCTTATAGTCGGGACTTGTCGTTCATCAAGTTGCCAAAAGGCAACCATTTTGAAGAAAAATATTAGTTAGTATTTGAAGTCACTTATATATATGTTCTTACAAAATAACACTTTTACTCATCAACTTTGTTCAGGTGGCATTGTAGTGAACGAGAACACAAATGGAGACAATAGAATGTATTTGAATACCGAAATTCCAGAATCTCTTAGTAAAATCTGAGGATGTTACACTAAATACTTAATTCGTAAAATGTCAATCAATCGTCTTAAACTTGACTGTTCCTTTGTAAATGTCAGTCAATAGTCTCAGACTTCACTGTTCTTTCACTGCCAGACCAATCGCTTTCTGTTCTCGTTCTTTCCTTCTCAATCTTCTCGACCTTCTGCTGCCAGACATTATATTCCTGACTAGCGTTATATACTACTTATGTCAATATAAGTAACACACGCCACAGTATGGTATAACAATGAAAAATGTGGAAACAATAATTTTTTAAGCTTTTCAAATAAGACATAAGAAAATATAGTACCTAAGTAAGAAGTAAAATGGAAACTGGTCAACATTTGACGTCTATATTGATAAAATATAACCATTAATTCATCTACCTTTATTGTTCACCTTTCTATTGTCAGTAGAAAGTTTAATTATTTGTATAGGTGAGTCTGTATATTATTCAAAATCTCGTTTACCAAATAATTGCCAATGAGTATCTTTCATTTCAGTCCCACCTAAAGTACTTACAGATTTTACAAGTTCAAAAGTATTAGCTGAATTTTCAATGGATACAACTTTAAGTTGTCCAGTAACTGGTCAACCACTTCCTAATGTCAAATGGTATCGTGTCACTGGTTCAGGGAATGTACCATTAACTTTTGGTAATCGTTATATTTTACAAGCTGATAATTCTCTGTTAATACATGGTAAGTAAATTATAATTTATTCAAGTATATACTGTATTCCTAGAAGTTGCCTGTACATAAAACTTCTAGATTAGCATCGTTAAGTCTAAAGATAGTTTACATAAGAAGTCGACGAAGGTTAGTAAACCACTGTTAGATAGTCAGTCAGCTACAACGTAGGACCAGGCACATTTATTCATCGGTCAAAGTTGCCATACCTCGTTAGTACAGCAAGATGAACACCAGATTCATAGAAGTAGTTAATTTGGTGGTGGTAGTATATAAAAGATAGGTTGTAGATAAGGATATAGTATAGGAAGGAAGAACGTTATGAAGCAATTTCAATCTTAAGGTTTAAGGGGAGATAAAGAGTGTATACACCTACGTCATTGTGATCGATTCTGAGCCATGTCACACAGTCTCTAACCATTGGTTACGATAGTCACACGGACCCCAAACAAGTAGTCTGCATCTGTCAACATAGCTCAGACTAGTAAACCACTGTACACCAGGGTAGATCTTTTTTTTCTGCCTGGTTTTGGACATTTCATGTATGTTGACTGTAAAACTTGAAGATCCTCTATTTGTTGTCATATGCATTTATGGATGCACAACATATAGAGAATTAAACGAGGAAGAAAAACAATTATCCAGTTGTCTTCAGTTCTTCTGCGTTCTACATCTGTGACAAACTGTTTTTTTTTTAATGAACTAATTTTCACTTAGCACCCATTCATAGTTTACATAAGTTAGCTTGCCTGAACCAACTATCTCATCTAAATGAACCAAACTTTAAATCAACTAAAAATTTAGCTACATTGTAATATGTCATGATTCATTAAAAAAAACCCAGTTTGAATGGGAAGAGAAAAACACTGACGATTTTCGTCAGTCGTCTTATTTGTATCTAAGTGTTAATACGTCTTTGATCTCTCTAGATAAGATTTAGACTTTGCATTAGAAACATCTATTGTTAGCGTTTTTTAGCGAGTTAGTTTTCTACGAGATGGGCTCGCTAACCGCATGACCAACCCTCCTCCTTTATCCGAGCTTGGGACCATCAGTAGCCCCCCGGGGGGACTACAGGCGGAGTTCTGTTATTAGACGTATATGCGTTCTTTACTTTAAACTTTAAGTTTCCCTTCGGTTGAATTCAAAATAAATAAACCTATTCCAATCACTATGATAAAGTTGATTTATAATAAAACATATTACATAGCTACTTTTCTTAATAAGATTAACCACTTTAAGTTTTAGACATTACATGTTTACATAAACACCTGATACACATAGATATTCAGCGGCGGGGGGGGGGAATTTTAGCTATTGTTATCTAAGAAAAATGAAATTTCTTGTAGATTGTAGTGCCGTGCTTCGCTAATCTTTCACCTCGATTACTGTTATAATACGAACCTTAACGGTGATTGAAGTCAGAAGGCAAATAGAAGCTGTAACTACAGTTTATTATCAAATGACGCAGACCACAAGGCTATAAGGACATGAGTAAGTATCAGCGAACAAGAGCAAGCAATTACACAGACAAATTTATCGTCAAATTGTATGAGGGTGCAGCAAGACAAAGCAAAAGTTAATGATAGGATTTGAGTACATACATATATGGGGAAGAGGATGAATCATCGAATGATATTTAAACAATCAATGTTTTAGCTAGAGTCTATCATTTGCTCTAGTGATCATAACAGCACAAAGAGATATGAGATAGTTACTATCCAAATGACAATGTCTGTTAAGTAAGTTAATAAAAGGGCCTAACCGAAATAAACCATATTCGAAAATGGGTGTAGGATAGTTGTTATAGGATAACAATGATGAGTTTATTCGAGACCTAACTTCAATGCTTCTAGAAAACATTAAAGAACTTATTAACCGAAGTTATTCCTGATTTCTTTTTCTTTTTTTTTAACTATAACTTTAGATGTAAACATGGAAGATGGAGGTGTTTTCATTTGTGAAGCTGTTAATATGTATGGTAAAGTTAGTCATTCAGTCACAGTTGAAATTGGAGGCACAAGTAAGTTGTTAATTGGTTATCTTTTAAATAAAGACAGAACAAATATTGATACAGAATAATATGAATTCATTATATTTCGTGGTTTCTAATCAGCTGCTAACAACCAAATATGCATTAAAGTTTTAGCATTGGGGTAATAAATAGAATGGAACGACTGACATAAGTGAATGTAAAGGATTGGTATAACAAAAGTCATCGATGATAACTATATATATATGGGCAAGGAAAGGTCAGAGGTTATTAGGTATTAGAATAAAGGCTAGCATAATAGTTGAGTGGAGTTCAGAGACAGATAAAATCAAAAAATGTGATTATTTTCGAGGTAGTTGAAAACAATTAGGGTTACGTAATAATTGAATAATTTTTAGAGGTAGTTGAAATCAATTAGGGTAGGTTACGTAATAATTGAATAAAATTTGGATAGTTCATATAATTAGGAGAGACAAATGAGCGGAAATGTGTTAGATAAAGGGTGGTTTAAGAATCGGGTAACGCGATGACGTTTGAAGCGAGGGTACTGGGTTCGAGTCCCAGAGTGAACATCAATTCTGAGATGCAGGCACATCCAGCTGACGAGTCCCAAATAGGACAAAGCGCGTGTCCTGGATTCCACTGCTAGCCACTATCCATCTCTGCTTACCATGCTTGTGAATTAAGACAATATCGAGGCAATAGGCACAGTATGCACATATGCCAATCAGAGACTGACCAGTTGCAGTCCAAATACATCGATGGGACGATTCAAACAAACAAAACTAAATGAACTATCCAGCATAGGCCGCCCACGAACGTTCTCCATCCAACCCTCTTCTGGACATTCATCTCCAGTTGTTATTCATTCTTTACATGTCTGCTTCCAATTGTCAATGCAGTGTGTTCCATAATTTTCCTCTACTCCAATTTCTTTCACGATTCCAAGTTAGCGCTATCTTCGTGATGCAGTTTGATGATTCGCGAAATGTATATCCTATCGACCAATTACAACGTGTTTTCCTAATTTCTCCTTCAGTTGGAAGCTGGTTTGTTTTCCCCTATAGAAGGCTGTTGCTGATGGTATCCAGCCACTCTATTGAAAAAAACCCCACAGAATACAGAGTTCTGCAAAAACGTCTAATAAGTTGTCAAAATAATTAAGACCACCATTGATCAAACAAGAGTTTTGCCAATCTATCTAAAATGTATTAAGATGGATTACGTCAATTTTACGTTCAAACCAACACACTGTTAACCGTCTCCCACTGAAACCAAATTTACTTGAGAAAATTATTTTATTAAGTTAATAAATTGTCTTATAGTTTGCGTCATTGATTAATCTTGGTTACAAAAATATTGAGAACTAGGATACATTGGACAGCAGTTTTGTCTTATTATAAAACTCCTTAGCACTGGGTATCGAACTCAGGATCTTCATATCTCTCAACTTAGCACTTCCTGATTTTCATTAGTTGTCTAAATAAGATCAATCATTGATGTACATTATGAAATCTGGCAATCACTAAATAATCACTAGATTAATATTGTATTATCAGAAAGGGCTTTTGTGGAAGTCAGTCACCAGTGAGCATATGATTATTATTATCAGAAGGCGTTCGAATTAGATATGAACACCATCGGATGCCTGCTCAGTGGTCTATCAGTTAAGTGCTCTGGCGCGAGACTAGTAGGTCCTGGGTTCGAATCTCACGAGGCGAGGTCGTGGATGTGCAATGCTGAGGATTCCCACAATAGGACGAAACGGCCATCCAGCGCTTCCAGGTTTTCCATGGTGGTCTAGCTTCAATTGACTCATGCTTTCAACTAATATTGTATTGTATTTCCTTGACTTTGGATTTATCAATTGATGTGTTATATCATTCTTACTTTTCTATTTCTTTTAATTCATTAAACTATTTTAGAAGCTCCATCTATTTCATTTACACAACCAAAACAATTAGTTCTTGTTGGTACAACAGAAAAACAAATCATTTGTAATGTACTTGATGCAAAACCAGCTGCTACTGTAATTTGGTTAAAAGATAATCAACCTATTGATACTAGATTAAATGACAAATATTATCAAGATGGTTTTAATTTAATTGTTCGTGATGTAGAAGTAAGTAGTTATTAATTTGAAGTTATTCATAAATATACTTGATAGCATCAGTATAAAATTTATGAGTATCACTAGGGTTGTATGGTCGGAGAATGATTGGTTGTCTGCTTAATCGGACATGTAGATAGTCTGATAGGTATCAGATGAGTTATAGGATCTTGCCCTATCCTTATTGTTAATTGATTGTTCTTTGTTGTTGGATTGTGTCGCGTTTTGGTGTGAAAATATATTTACTCTTTTGTCAGGTTAATCACATGTTCATGATCTGAATTGTGTTGAAGTCCTGCAGAGTAGATAATAGAAGGGAATCTAGTATAGATATTCGTCTAAGATAAATTAACGATCCATTCGTGTAAACAAGAAAACCGGACAGTTATAACAACTACTATGGTTGAACTAGATAGTTTTAAATAAATTAAGCATTAGGTAGAAAATTATTACTAATTATATTCACTTAGTATTACTTGTTTGAATCTTCCCATTGATGCATAAGGCTGCAACTGGTCAGTCTCTTATTGTCATATGTGTATACTGTGCGTATTGCCTCAATATAGCCTTATTTCACAAGCATGGTAAGCAGAGATGGATAGTGGCTAGCAGTGGAATCCACGAAACGCGTTTCGTCCTATTTGGGACTCGTCAGTTGAATTCCACTACTAGCTACGATCCATCTTTGCTTATAATGCTTGTGAAATAATGCTATATCGAGATAATACACACAGTATGCACATATGCCAATAAGAGACTGATCAGTCGCAGTCCTAAACATCAATGGGAAGATTCAAACAAACAATACTAAGTGAATACAAACTTCACTCCATTGCACAAGCAAGTGGTTATCAGGACTCAGTAGCTGAGTGGATAACGCGATGGTGTTTGAAGCGAATGGTACTGGGTTCAAGTCCCAAAGTGAACATAAACTCTGAGATGCAGGTACATCCACCTGACGAGTCCCGAATAGGACGAAACGCGCGTCCTGGTTACCACTGCTAGCCACTATCCATCTTTGCTTATTATTAATTATATTTTATGTGATATCTCAACGAGTTGGACTTTGTCTGTTTGACGTTTCATGACCTAATGTAAGTCACTTCTACAGAGTAAGTACATAAATAAGTGAAATAAAATCAATATAAGTTTAAGTAGTACAAAGGAAACGATGCAGAATATCTTTAGTGCTATTAAAACCAAAATGGGTCTGAACATATTAATATCATGCTATTTTTGGTCAAGATGATTCCATATGGAACATTAGTGTGTTTATAAGCAAAGATAGATATTGGCTAGCAGCGGAATACAGAATGCGCGTTTTGTCCTGTCTGGGACTCGTCAGATGGATGTACTTGCCTCTGAGTTTATGTTCACTTTGGGACTCCAACCCAGTACCGTTCGCTTCAAACACTACTGGATATAAATAAATAAATGGAGTAGCCATGGGATCTCTAGTGTCTTTGATTGTTGCAAATTTATGTCCCTTATTTAAGTCGCTTATTTTTTCCAGTACCATCAGACTAGGTATCTGACTCAGATATGTGGGTGATACATTTTTCATTAATAAAAGGACCCTGCTTAGAAATTTCTCCAAACAGATAAACACGTTCTCAAAATAACCCATCAAAGTCACTTTAGAAAAGGAAGATGAACATAGTAAACTATCATTCTTAGACTTTAGTTAAAATGAACTGTAATCGAAGTCTAAAGCTAACTATAAACAGAAAACCAACCCATTCAAATCGGAGTATTTATCTTAACTCTGCACATGTAAGTTGCACAAAAGGATCTAATAATCCTGTAGAATTGAAAAATTTACAAGTTAAATCAGTAATATCAGTACATGTTATTTCCAAAATAATTCAGAAAGATGTTTCCAACTATAAAGGGAAGAGAATAACCAAAGCAACTATTATAGTGCTTAATCTCTCTGGCCTCAGTAGGAGGAAAGAAGGCCTGACTATTTATCCAACTTGGACTGTTTTTCTAAATAACCGCATTTGACCCTATTGATTTCCCACACAATTTGCACACACACACACACATGGACCCAATTTTAAATTCATTACACCATACATTTTTCATACCCACCATCTGACGCATAAATTAATACGATTATATGTCATATAGAATCACTTCAACCAAAAATAACACAACACTGACATGTTCAGACCTCACGAAATTCGAACCCAGAGCCTACCAGTCTCGCGCTAGAGCATTCAACCGATAAACCACTTAGTCGGCATCTAGCTTCAATTGACTCATGATTTCATCTATGCAAATACTGAAATCTCCACAAAACCCCTTCTGATAATAATTATAAGCTAACTAGTGACTGACTTCAAGATACATGTCCTGGAGTTCTAGTGAGAAGCAGTTACCAGTGGAGTTCAACCTCGTCTGTTGTGATATATCAACTCACAGAAGACAGTTGGTGAACGGTTGCTCAACTTCGTGGATTGGTTGAAGTTAGATATTAACACCATCGGATGTCGGCTCAGTGGTCTATCTGTTAAGTGCTCTGGCGTGAGACTGGTATGTCCTGGGTCCGAATCTCTCTGGGCGGGATCGTGGGTGCGCATTGCTGAGGAATTCCATAATAGAACGAAATGGCCGTCCAGTGCTTCCAGGTTTTCCAGGGTGTTCTAGCTTCAATTGACTCATGTTTTCATTTATGCAAATACAATTGTTATAAATTCACACCAAGTTGTCTCAATGCTATCCGATTCGTTGGAAGGTTTCACAATCCAAGTTTATCATTCTTATACAGAAAAAGAATATACAAATGGAACATTCTTTATTATTCTAAGGTCAACTTATTATCAATGTTCTTTTATGTAAATATGTTGTTTCTAACTTTCCCACTTTTCTCCTTTTTAGATAGAGGATGAAGGGATTTATACTTGTATTGCACGCAATGTAGTTGGCAAGGCTAAATTTGATATTGAACTAGATGTACAAGGTAAAGATTCTGTTTTATCATTGATATTTATCAATTAATCTAATTAATAAATAATAAAGGCTGAATCTACAAATTACAAGCTGATTAATAATGTTACACTTCCATTCTGTCAAGCAAACTAATAATCGATGTAGCCCCAGAATTGATAAAGATCATTCGTATACTGTGGAACATCTTACTTACTTATTTACGTCTGTTACTCCCAATCGAGCATAGACCACCGACCAGCATTCCTCAACCCACTCTGTTCTGAGCCTTACCTTCTAGTTCTATCCAATTTTTGTTCACTCTTCTCATGACTGTCGCTATTTGTCAGCGTAATGTGTTCTTTGGTATTCCTCTTCTCCTTTGGCCTTAAGAATCTCAAGTGAGGGCTTGCTTTATGACACAGTTGGCTGATTTCCTCAATGTGTGTCCTATCCACTTCCCGATTTATTCCTTCTCTGGATGAAATCTGGTTTGTTCTCACCCACAGTAGGTTGTAGATGACAGTGTCTGGCCAACGGATCCGAAGTATTTTGCGTAGAGAACTGTTGATAAACGCCTGTATTTTACGGATTATGACTTTCGTAGTTTACCAAGTTGTCACCCCATACAGTAGAATTGTCTTGACATTTGTATTGAAAATTCTGATCTTGGTGTTGGTTGACAATTGTTGTGAGTTCCAGATGTGATGATGATAGAAATGACGTTTTTTACTGATGATGTCGTTCAGAAGGACGATGAAAGCTCCACGACCAAGACATTCAATTCAGAGAACAAACCTGCATCCAAATCACGCACCTGAGCTACAAATCTTCTCCACAATCTCGAAACAAGAGATTTTTAACTGTACACAATTTGAAAAATCAGCTAAAAAGATCCTGGAAAGAGGAAAGAAAAGATTATCGGAACAGATTCATTGAATTACAAAGTTACTAGTGTAGTAAATACTCAGTAGTTACACTTTTCTCGTAGGAAAAATAGTTTGAAATGAGAATTTCCTGAGAGCTGACACTCTGTTTGCATTCCTGTTCTCTTCAATTTGATCTTGTCAATGTTTTTTCGCAAGGCATTTCAATTTTGATTGATGTTACATACTGCTTATATTCGTCAATATGAGTAGCATACATCACACACACATACACTATCTCTGGTAATTATTCTTTGTTTTAATGAACGTCCGTACAAAACATTCTGTTCATATATAGATAGTACTTTTTGATACATTTGAGCTATATATAGCTAATTTATCCAACAATGTTCAAACGGGATTGTCCTAATTTGGTCTTTAATAGCATTTCAACATGTCACATATCTATACGTCATTGTTCACTTTAATGGACTCAATATGCTTACATATCTTTTTATAATATTTTAGGTAAACCAAAGTTTTTAGATTCATCAATTGGAGGTAAAATTGATGTAACACAAGGTGATAATCTAGTTTTGGAATGTAAAGTTGAAGGTGATCCAAAACCAATTGTTGAATGGCGTAAAGATGGTAGAATAATTTTACCACAAGGACCTGGAACAAATACAGGAACATTGTATGGATCAAATATGGGTTCAATAGGACCAGCTATTGTTATTTCACCTGATGGATATACATTAACAGTATATTCAGTTACAGAAGCTGTTGCTGGAAGTTTTACATGTTCCGCAATTAATGTTCATGCAATTGAATCAAAAGAATTTGAAATAAGTGTTAAAAGTAAATTTTTTTTCCTTAAAATGAATTTTTAAACAAACTTAACAAGTAGTCAGTTATTCTACTTTTATTGAAATCAAAATGGGGACTTGTGGAAATTTTAGTATTTTTAATGGCTGAATTCATGAGTCGATCTAAGGTAGATAAGCACTGGAGTTCTGGGAGCACTGAGTGATCGTTTCGTCCTAGTATGGGTCTCTTTGACGCTGTGGATTGTGTATGCGCAGGTCGAAACGGCATGAAGTATTTCAACAAGTCTCCTTTACTTATTTCTTGATCGACGCTGACGATAAATATTTCGTGATCACCAGTTAGATGTTAGCATTTGAGGGATCGACTACTGAATAATATTCATTATTTTCGATGGATATTTTGGACAACCATGATGTCTCTGAATGTACTTTGTCGTAAGTTGTACAGAGAAAGGTCATAAACGTTTCATAAATCCACCTGAATAGGTTATGTGACTAATAGACATGATGATGTGTTAAAACAAACAAACATAAAAAAACCCGATAACTTGTTGAAATATCTAGATGATAGGGAGGGACAGGTAGCCGCGATATTCAAGCAGGCCTCCAGCAAATGTTATCAGATTGAATTCACTTAGTGTTGTTTGTTTGAATCATCCCATTGATGCTTAGGACTGAAACTGGTCAGTCTCTTATTAACATATGTGCATACTGTGCATATTGCCTCGATATTACCTTAATTCACAAGCATTATAAGCAAGAGGCTATGAGGACTCAGTAGCTGAGTGGTAAACGTGATGGCGTTTAAAGCGAAGGTACTGGATTCGAGTCCCAAAGTGAACATCAACTCTGAGATGCAGGTACTTCCAGCTGACGAGTCCCAAATAAGATGAAACGCGCATCCTGGATTCCACTGCTAGCCAATATCCTTCTTTGGTTATAATGTTATCAGATTGTTTTTGCTATTGCTCATTATTGGATAAGATCAACAACTGAATAGTATGATGCAAGTCTATAACATAATTTTATTATAAAAAGAGGAAATAGTCTTTAGTTAACAACATGTGATTATATTCAATCTAAAAGTTGGTAATGACCATTTATTACAATTTTTTTTTCTCAGCACCACCTGTTATATCAAAAGAAGGTAGTAGTGAATTTGAATTGGGTAATCAAGAAATTGGTTTATTAACTTGTATCATTGCAATTAGTCAACCTCCAGCTAAAGTAACATGGTATAAAGATGGAAGACCATTAGAACATATTCCTGGTCGGATTAACTTTCTTGATCATGGACATACTGTGGTAAGTGAAATTAGAATACTTGAAATGATTTTCCATGAAATCACATTGCTTTTACCTTCCAGTTTTTATCAACTTTAAGATATTTTCTAAAATTGAATTTTGTGAACGACACTGTCAACATATGAAGAGGATTCAAATACAAGAAACGTATTTTCTCAGTATAGGGTTTTGGAGATTTTTGATTTTAGATTGACTGTAAGCCTGGAAGCACTGGACATCAACACCGATGGATGCCGACTTTAAGCGTTCGCGCGTGAGATCGAAGGTCCTGGATTCTATCCCGGAGTGAGAAATCGTGGATCAGTACTGCTGTGGAGTACCATACTAGGACGAAACAGTCGTCCATAGCTTCCGAGTTTTCCATAGTGGTCTAGCTTTAATTCATAAATTCAATCATTAAATTCATAGTTATTGATTAAATAAAATCTGTAGATCATAGTACTGAGTGAACGGCCTAATCTTACGTAATAAGAAGATAAGGCTTAAATGAGCATGTTAACAACCTGTAAATGAATCTGTGAATGAACTAAGATCAAAAATTACGCTTATTACCCCTCGTGGAGGAGCATAGACCGCTCACAAGCATTCTCCATTCAACTCTGTCCTGGGCAATCCTTTCCAGTTCTTTCCAGCTAACATTCATCCTTTTCATATCTGCTTCTATTTCCCGACGTAATGTGTTCTTTGTCCTTCCTCTTTTCCACTTCCCTTCCGGATTCCAATTTAGGGCTTGCCTTGTAATGCACATCTTAGAACTAAGATCAACTTAAGTAATAATAGTAATATCTACTGTTAATTGAATATGAAATATTCATCGTAATTCAGTTTGTTCTAATGAATTTTTACTTGGAGATCAAACCAACTGATATTAGGTTCAACTATCCTATGAGATAAATAAAAGTCTCATCAATTTTTGAATAATAACTAATTGATGAATTGATGCCAATTTTCATTGCACTACTTAATAGTCTACTGAAAATAATAAAAACAGATCGTCTGAATAAATCTTGAACTAATCATCTGTAAGTATAATTTAGTTCTTATATGTTAACAACTAAAGTTTCGGAGATCATAGGATTCAAAGTAATTGGCTTTGTGTTACTAGTTTGATGGAAGTCAATCTGCAACATAAAGTAATAACTAACCTGAAGGATTTTTGTGGAGATTTAGTATTTTCATAGTTGAAATCATTAGTCAATTGAAGCTAGAACACCATGGAAAACCTGGAAGCACTTGAAGTCTGTTTCGTCCTATTATGGGACTCCTCAGCGGTGCGCATACATTAAAGACAACTCACTGAAAACAATTAGTGGACGGTTGCTCTACTTTGTGGATCAGTTGAAGTTAGACGTTCACACTGTTGGATGCCGGCTAAGTTGTCTATCGGTTTAGTGCACTGGCGCGAAACTGGTAAATCCTGGGCTCGAATCTCGGGAGTGTGGGATCGTGGATGCGCACTGAACTTCAGGTAGAAGTGAAGTGTTCGAATTTCACAGCTTGTCCTGTAGACCTCGATGTTGATTGGTTCTTGTTGACCTTATACCTGTCATTGTCTACTTCTTTGTTTTGGTTGTATCGAACACTTCTTTTTTTAAATGAAGTTTGTGCTTATGATGTGGTTCAAAACAAACATGAAAGCTCCACGACCACTGATCTCAGAGAACAAAAGTCCATCGAAATCATCCATCTGAGCTACAAATCTTCTCCACTATCTCAAAACAAAATTTGATTGTCTGTCTGACGCAATATGAACGCTCTTAAAATTCGAAAAACCCAGTTTCTTATATGAATAAGTTAAATATTATAAATAAAACAGTGTTGTCAAATGCTAAACAGATATGCTTTGGATTATATCATGGGCATATGACCAGTAACTTTGGTTACGTGAATAATTCACTTAAAACAGCTCATTTACACTAGCACAACACTTACTGTGTATCATTAAAATATCGTGTGATATGTCTAGTTTTGTCTCATATATCACAGGAATCAGTAGTTCTAATTTAAATATTAGATATTTTCCTCGTGGAATAGACCACGTGTAGAGCTGACTGAAGAATTCGCTGATACTTTACAACTTAAAAAGAAATAATGATGAAAGGCTTCTTGATTCACTGTGAATGTCCAACTGATAACTGTTGTTGATGATAATCTTCAAATGTTAATTCGTATTGTAAGTTCGTTATTTCAAATAACGTCGAGATAACTCATTTTGAAGAAATTAAACATGCCCTTTGCAGAATGAAACAACAATAATCATGACTGAATGGTGATAATAAAGTGGAAATATCCTTCAAGTGAATAATATCGTCATAGTTGAAATCATGAGTCGATTGAAGCTAGAACACCATGGAAAACCTGGATGCACTACAAGGCCGTTTCGTCCTATTTTGGGACTCCTCAGCAGTGCGCATCCACGATCCCGCGACTCGCGAGATTCGATCCCAGGACCTACCAGTCTCGCGCCAGAGCACTTATCCGACAGACCACTGAGCCGGCATCCGATGTCTAACTTCAGCCAATCCATGAAGTTTGAGAAACCGTTCACCAATTATCTTCAGTGAGTTGTTATCTCATAACAGACGAGGTTGAACTCCACTGGTCACTGCTTTTCACTAGAACTCCAGGACATGTATCTTCAAGTGCTGTAAAGCGAGACTGGTAGGTCCTGGGTTCGAATCTCGCGAGTTGCGGGATCGTGGATGCGCACTGCTGCGGAGTCCCTCAATAGGACGAAACGGCCTTATAGTGCATCCAGGTTTTCCATAGTGGTCTAGCTTCAATTGACTAATGATTTCGACTATGAGAATGCTGAAATCTCTACAAAATTCCCTCTGTGTGTAGTATTGATTTAATAGATCTTAATCTCACAAATTTACTGATATTCAGTTTGGTAATGCCAAGAATGATGTCTTCTAAAGAATCTTTGAAAACCGAACGGTGGTCTCCAACTGTTTAATCCTAGATTAAGATTAATATAGGGTGCATACTCATAATTTCTAATGAGATTAGACCTGACTTCTGTTCAAATATATTGTACAATATTACTTCAGTAAATATTCTTTCGTTTTGAAAAAAAAATTTAGGAAATACGTGGTAAAAATGAAGAAGACTCTGGTTCATATGAATGTCGTGCTGAAAATGTTGCTGGGATAGATTCTAGATTTTATCAAGTAACAGTATTAAGTAAGTCAGTATAAAGTTGATGATGAAGTTTGTTTATTTGCATTGTTATTAATGGAGCATAGGCTGCCGACCAGCATTCGCCAACTCACTCTGTCCTAGACCTTCCTTTCCAGTTCTATCCAATTTTTGTTCATTTTTCTCATGTCTGTCTCCATACACAAAATAATCAACACAGTCTATCAAACAGGTAAAAGGAGAGACATTAATAACATACCGAACAGTAAAAAGAGAATAGGAGAAATGAGTCAATAGACTTAATACGGATCATGTTAAATATAAAATTATGAAGTTAAATATTAGCACGGTTATATGTTGACTGGCGTTCTCTCGCAAGGCCGAAGGTCCTGGTTTCAAGTCTTTCGTACGGGATCATGGATGCGCACTGCTGTCTAGTGCTTCTAGGTTTTCAATGGTGGTCTAGCTTTAATCGACTAATGAATTCGACTACTACAATATCCACGATACCTTATTCTGATAATAAAAATATGATTAGTGAATAAGCGAAGTATAGTCATACATGGTAAAGAAAGTTAATATGGTGGTAGACGTTTATTGTTGTCCTTGGTTGGTGTGTTAACCGAAGGTTGTTTATTGTAACTTCTTACAGATATTTATTTATTTTTTTATGTCATTTGTAATTTCGATAATATAATTTGATCATACTTTATACAATATCCATCAAATTAACTTTCAACTATGTACTAATTAACGGATGACTTCTTTCTATTTTAAAGACGATTTGAAGTAAATATAAACTTTTATCGTAGACTGACATCAGCTTAGGAACTATTGTAAATCTTGGAGCGTTAGTAAATTATATTTTATAGAGGTTAGAAAGTCTTCAGTAAAACATGTTACGCGACTTAAATGTTCTTCATCCTGATTTGTGTAGAGTTGTTGGAAAAAATTGACTAATAAAAGAAACTAGTATTAAGAAGTTGAGTGTAAATAAGACAACCTCGGAAAAAGACGAGAATTTTATCTGCTCTCAGCACAAACGTTTAGGACGATGGGCAGAGCAATTCAAGGAGCACTTCAGCTGGTCTTCAGCTACTCCACAACTACTCACTATTCCCAAACAGTCTGAATGAAACATTGAAGTAGATCCCCCGACTCTAATTAGTTTCAGAAAGCTATGGTTAACCTGAAACGAGGAAGAGCAGCTGGTCCAGATGGATTGGCTCCAGAGGTCTTTAAATATGGTGGTCCAGTTTTAGTGATTAGTTTGGCTAACGTTTTAGCTAAAATCTTGGAGTTAAACGTAATTCTATGTGATTGGTCACAATCACTGATTGTCCCAATATATAAGAAGGGGTCAAAATTATCCTGTGATAACCATAAAGGAATTAGTTTGAATAATGTAGCATCTAAAATACTAGCCTCAATAATTATCGGGCGCCTAACTAAAACTCATAAACTGTAAGCACACGAAAATCAGGCTGGCTTCAGACCTGGTCGTGGCTATTATCGACCACATATTCACCGTTCGTCAGGCTCTAGAACACCGACATGCTTATCGGTATCCAACATTGATAGCTTTTCTCGACTTAAAATCAGCATTTGACTCAGTAGACCAAGATGTTCTATGGCAGCATCTGTCATTGAATGGTGTACCTCAGAAGTACATAAACCTTGTGAAGGCTCTTTACTCGAACACTACAAGTCTAATGAGAGCTTATAGTGAAATGTCATCTGATTTTGCAACCTCAAGTGGTTCCACCAATGTTGTCCACTATCTTCTTTTCTTTTTAATTTCATCAAAGATGCTGAAAATAACGTTTTCGTCGACTAAATTTTCAGGAATTGATCCCCCTCCCAGGTGGTCCACTTATCAACTTAGAATACGCAGATGGCACAATCCTATTTGGCAGAGACTCTGATAAAATGCAAGGTCTTTTGATAGCACTGAGCAACAATGCCAGAATGTTTTGGCATGTGTTTATCCCTCTCTAAATGCAAGTTGTTGCTTCCAGACTTGCCTGCATCAACACCTGAACTGTTTAATTTGTACTCATACAGTCATGTATAAACCAGTATCGAAATGAAGAACACTATGAACTCAGTCGAGTGTGTTCTATTTGAATTTTAAATCAGGCACAAATTCTTATACATAGGAATTGTCCATTAGTTCAATTGCCATAGTCAACCTAAATAACGCAGAATTTTTTTTGGAAATATAGATCAGGTTATTCTGACTCGACCACTATGACTTCCAATATACATAAAATCAATAATCATGTACCATTCCTCAAATCAAGAATGTTTCCTATTCAGAATGTATGACTTATTTCTGCACATGGGAAATCATTTTGATAGTTAATTCAACTAAATAAAAGTTGATTAAATTCATTATCAGAAGGGGTTTTGGGGAGATTTTAGTATTTTCATAGTTGAAAGAGTGATTCAATTAAAGCTAGACCACCATTGAAAACCTGGAAGCACTGGACGGCCGTTTCGTCAATTGACTCACGCTTTCAACTATGAGAATACTGAAATCTCCACAGAATCCCTTCTGATAATGAATATAATCATATGCTCACTAGTGACTGACCGAGAAGTACATCCAGGAGTTTTAGTGAGAAGCAGTGGCCAATGGAGTTCAAACCATATCTGTTGTGAGATAGGAACTCACTGAAGACAATTGGTTAACGGTTGCTCAACTTCGTGGATCAGTTGAAGTTAGACATTAACACCGTCGGATGCCGGCTCAGTGGTCTGTCCGTTAGGGGCTATGGCTCGAGACTGGTAGGACCTGGGTTCGCATCTCGCGAGTGCTAGATCGTGGATGCGCATTGCTGAGGAGGCCCATAATAGAACGAAATGGCCATCCAGTGCTTCCAGTTGATCAGCTTCGTTTGGGTATATGTCTTCAACAATCTTTTAGAAGCAAATTGTTTTATTGATTTAAAATTCTTTTCTTATTCTAAATTGTAGTTCCTCCAGAGATTACAACAATTGGAACATCTACACGTCGACTTGTTCAATCAGGTCATAAATTAGAACTTGAATGTGGTATGACTGGTTATCCTGAACCAAAATTAACATGGTATTGGAATGGTAAACCATTATCAAGCAATGATGAACAACAAGAAACGATAGCATCTAGTTTAGGTATGCAAATAATTAATATGAATCCTGAAAGGAAAGATTTATTTATACAAGAAATGAGTACTGCTCTACAAGGAAAGTAAGTACTCTACTCATAAGTTTCTTTTCTGTTTGGTTGATTCTAGAATGTTTTATGATGAACACTTTCAAATCGTAAAGCTGAGATTTGATGAATTTATCCATCCATCTTGATCATATATAGAGGTTGGTCATCTAATGTAAACTAGTAAGCCTAATGTGATCCACTTTTGTGGTTCACTGATTTGACTCCAGTTTGAAAGAATGAAATGAATATGTTATGGATTTAAGTAGTCTTTTTTTAAACTCCATATATTAAACCTAGGCTAACCCCGTTTGTGCTATAGCGTTAGTAAAATGTTAAATGTGGGTCGAGTTTCATGAACTTATTTCAGACAGATATTAAAAATGAAAATCGGGAAAGCAAAGCAAAGTGAAGCGGTGAAGACGAGTGAACCAACTCAGTTTTATAAAGCATGATTGAATACTTATAACCAGACGAAAATAAGCTAAAGACATGTGATGAATAGGTAAGTTGGTTGAGAGACCAATGATTCACAAATAATTTCGAAGTAATACTGTTTCCGGGTCGAATCAACATCCATTGTTTTGAAAATGCTAGACCAAGAGACTTTGATTTTCTACCTAATTAGGTTTGTTGCCCCCAAATGCCCTGGTACGGCTAAGAGTAAAGAGAGTCCGCTCTTCCTCTCCAAATGCTCTCACATGGCAACGCTTATATAGCCTCTGACAAGGAAGTCCTACTCACTGCCTTCTCGTGGCATCACTGTTGTTTACGAAATTGAGAGGACGAAAAGCGAATGTCCGGCACTTTAACCGGGTTGGTGGAAACGGAGAGTCCACCTAGGGGAGTTGCAAAACCCTGATAACAAACCAATGGTACACAATGGCTCCAGTATCCTGAAGGAACAAATGGTGTATGAATCAATCGTTGGTGACTGGCTACCATGGGACTGCATCTCCTCACGATGCTCCACTACCTTGTGGATCAGACCTTTAGGTCAAAGGCTCCGGGTCTGGTCCCGTAAGAAAACCGCCTGCTTGAGTTTGGGCATCAGGGCTTTCTTTTACCAATACTTATATGTTTAAATAAATAAATAAATGCCGTTTGATATATGTTCACATTTTTAAGTCTTATATTTAATTTTCTTATTTAGCTATACATGTAAAGGAATGAATAAAGGAGGTTCCACCGATTTGACTTATGAAGTTATTTTACTTGGTAAGTTTTTATGAATAATTGTGTAGATTTACCATGTGTTCTAGAAACAAACATCATATGGATACTAAGATTTCGTACATATATCCTTTAATTTTAATGAGGATGTAGTTAAGTTTAGGGTAATATGATGCCAAATCTACGATTAGTGGTTAAATGGTTACGTAAATGGCCTGGAACTTGAAAGTTCTAGACTAGATACTACTAATGGTACCATTATTACCAATACTATTACTACCGCTACGTATGAGAAAACCTAAATTATGATGGATCAGTGTTCTGGTTTCGTTTTTATAATCGGTTTTTCAGGTCAATCATGAAATCAATATGTTACTGAATTCTAGATGTTTATATCCATTTACTGAGTGGATTAAACTTAGGTTTTAAATGAACTAATGTCAGGGACTTTAAGCTTATGAAGACAAAGCTTTTCAACAATTCTTGATGTTCATAAGTTCTTCAGCTGGTAATATTTCATTAAACCTACCTTTAGATAATGCAGTTTCTATGATGTTACTAATATGAAAAGTTTAGAAATTTATCATCTAAAGTTTAAATAAGTGAAGGTATTTATTTTCTTGAAACAAACCACAATAAGACGAAACGGCCATCCAATGCTTCCAGATTTTCCACGGTGATCTAGCTTCAATTGATCCACAATTGACCACATAATTATTAAAAATATGTTAAAATAAGTAAACATGAAAAAAAAACAAATGAATTTATTCAGGTGTAAGATCGAAGGTCCTGTGTTCGATTCTCATATACAGAATCGTGGATGCACACTGCTGAAGAATCCCACACTAGGACGAAACGACCATCCAGTGCTTTCAGATTTTTTTTTTACTGGTAGTTTAGCTTCAATCGACTCATGAATGTAACTATTAAAATAATAAATTGAATTCTGTCTTCATTTCATTTGTATGTACAATTTATATTATAGAAAAACCTCGAATAGATAGTTTAAATGAAAAAGCTGTTGTATTTGTCAATAATACAATAACATTAACATGTGAAGCTACAGGAAGTCCACCACCAAATATTACATGGTTATTTAAAGGGAAACCACTTGATTTACTCAACGATCCAGGTTATCGGTAAGTGAACAATTCTTCTTTTATTTTTTCTTTGAAAAATACTTCCATTTCAATTTTGATCATATAGTTTTATATCTATTAAGTAGAACAGTTCTTAAGAAAAGTAGTTGAGTAAATAATTGGTTGAAAAATATTTTTAATATGATGTAGGATATGCTACTTATGTAAACAGATATAAGTAGTATGTATCATCAATTGAAAGTGAAATGCTTGGCGGCAGGAGATTAAGAAAATCAAAGAGAAGTAAATGAGAACAGAGAATGATTAATATGGAAACGAAGAAACAATAAAGTATGAAACGATTGATTGACATTTCGTAAATGAAGTAATTACTGTATGGTTCTCTGATTTTACTAAAACATTCTGTAATTTTGTGTACACATACATTCGATTGTTCTCACTTCTGTTCTCCTTCACTACAATGGCACTTTATATATGAAGACTACTTTACATTACAATCTTTTTTATTAAAATTTACTATAACGAAAATATATTTTCATAGTTACAAGCGTGAGTTAATTGAAGCATGACCATCAAGGAAAACGTGAAAACACTGGATGACCGTTTCGTCCTATTATGAAACTCCTTAACAGTGTGCATCCACAATAGAACGAAACAGCCGTCCAGTGCTTCAAAGTTTCTTATGGTGGTCTAGTTTCAATTGACTCATGCATGCAACTATGAAAATACTTAATCACCACAATACTCTTTTTGATAATAATATATTTGTTTTAGTGATTGTTTAATAAATGTAGTGAGTGTATGATAATTTCAAAGCCTCTTCATCATTGAAATCATCTATAGATTTTTCTAAAAAAAAAACTTTAAATTTCTAGGTTAACTGACACTTGGAAATTAATTGAAAAATAAACAAACAGTTTACCTATTTGTAAAACTATTCATTGATTAATAATTCTGTTTTAAAGTTTTATTAGAAGAACAACGTGAAATATTCAGTCATATGTAAAAGTAGGATACTATGTAGTAATTGATAATGATTCTAGTTGTTTATTTTTCGAATGAAATCGTTTTGTAATGTAGCATTATATAGTTAGTTACTTTATATTTCTTGAGTCCAAGTCCCAGGTGTACAATCGTGATTTCGTATTGATTAACAGTCTCATAATAGGACAAAACAATCGTCTAATGCTTTCAAGTTTTCCATGGTGATCTCACTTCAATCAATTCATGATTTCAACTATAAAATTATTTTAAATTATTAACTGTATGTTTCATGTTCAATGATAAAAACAAAATATTTACAGTATTATTGACTAATTATGCCATTGTACTGTTGAATATATTTAAATAGGGTTCTAATTGTTATAACGTATAGATTTTTATGCCGACTAATATATATGTATATGTCCAATGATACAGAAAATACGTACGAGCAGTCTTGGGTGCTATTCGGTCCTTCCTATCTGCCTAACCCAATCCGTTAGTCCAAAACACAAATAACAGCCTCAGCAATATGAATCATTATTTACAAGCATACTGGGTTATATATACTAACCAAACAGACCACATATATCAAAAATAGAAAAATAACATTTGTAAAGTAATTGGCCAATGTGGCTGTAGCTAGGAGGAAAGTAATCAATAATAATAGTTCCAAGGTCAAAATAAAGCTTATGATAAGAGGAACACGGAAACGATTAGGTCACTTATTTAACAACTATCCAATAGGAATAGGTGTATTACATTTGTCCATAAATGGACCTCAGATTTACGATTCATAATTCGCCAGGGGATATAACACTAATGAAATCATCTTCATGACAGTTACATTATCTAAATATTGGTCCCAATCTTCTTTCGATTAATTATTTATAAAATAGAATTTATGTTTAGGGAATTTCCTATCCGATGTCGCTATAAAGTAGATTATTCATTATTCTTTTCATATTCTACAAAGATTTATAAGTTAAATTCTATTCGATAGTTTCAAAACAAATAGAATATATCTTTCACGTACTGACAAATGAAACCCTCTAATCGATAAGTTCCGTCTCTCATTAAAAAAAAAAAAAAATAGACATTTTTAGAAACTATGAACATTTAACAAAATTTTTGTTGAATGTCAATGGTTAACTTATTAAGGTTAGTAGGGATGAACACAGACTTACCTTACTCATTATAAAATATTTATAAAAAAAAAAAAAAACAGGTATATTATTAATGTCTTACTATTAAACGTAGTGATCGTATTGTTATTTCCTATAATTTTAGCTTAGTTGGTCCAAAAAATTTAATGCTTTTATCAGCAAGACCTTATCAAGGTGGAGAATATGAATGTATTGCTGAAAATGAAGCAGGAATAGCTCAAGCATTGACTATTCTAACTGTTTTTGGTAAGTTATATATATATATATATATATATATATATATATATATATATATATATATATATATATATGTATACTTTAAAACAGAATTCATGTCTAAGAACTTTCTAAATTAGAGTGAATAGTTTCACAGTATTTGGGCGCCGAGTTGATGTAAGACATTATATAGGATGAATATGTATTTGTAAAATCTCAGAGAATGAATTTGAAGTAAATCCAACGTTTCGCCGAGCAATCTGGTTCAAGCTTTTTCAAGGATGATGAATTACTCAGTGATTTGTGGAATTTTAATACTACTGAGTTAATTTCAGTAGTTGAATATTTTCACTTAAATTTTCAAGCTAATAGTCACTGGCTATGTGTAATAGATAGTATCGGCGAGACTATAATTTATGGACGACCTTTGAATGGGTCTAATATGACCTTGAGAAATGTTAACCAATCAGTCAGCATAGAGTAAAAATATATTATACATAACCAAATAATTAAAGTGGATACACTTCTTTCATATGTTCTGAAAGCTTTTCAAGGTTAGAAAAAGGATCAAAGGTTCCAAAATCGTAATGCATAAAGTAGAGGAACTCATACATATGGCTCCATAATAGTTGGAACCATGATAAGGTCACAAAAACCCTCTCAGCCTCGACCACATAGCTTCAATATTGTTTGTGTGTACTCCGCTTATGTAAGTTTGTCATTTTTATTATGGATATGTCCCTACATTACTCATACCACTGAACAGCCGAAGCTTCAGTAACATCTGCGATTATTGCAGCCAATGTTACTGAAGCTTTTATTATACTGTCCGCGGCAATTATTATAATATGCCTTAGTCTTAATCTGGATCAAGCAATAAAGGTTCCTATTCTAGCAAACGTCCTCCTTCAACATATATTACATCGAAAGACAACATCACGGTAGTCTGCACAAGGTATACAAGTCGTTCAATACCCGCAATTATAAATACAGGAACTTCTCAGTAGTCTCATTTGTTGTACCCGCTTAATTATCAAGTGTTCCCTATAATTTTTTGTGAACCGATCGTACATTATCACCAGGTACTGAGATCGCCGCCATGACCTTGAAGTCCTTCAAACGTTTCTGATAGGTTCGTCCATAATTTATACCCCCGCAATAGTATCTAATATCAAACACTGCTGATTATTCAACTTCAATTCGTTAATTATAAATAAACTGTTGATTGATTGTTATTACACAACCTAATAGGACAAAACTTCACTGTGAAAAAGTCTTATCGAAAAAGTGTCATTCTGTATTGTTATTTACACTAGTTGACTGGAACGCTATTGCATATATAAACTAATTATCAATATTATTTGATTTTTTTTTTTAATATTACAATGTCATCATTGAAGAACCAACTGGTGAAAGAAATATGGCACAAAATCTTACAATTAGAACAATACAAATGGGTGGAAATATAACATTCACATGTGTTATGAGTTCAAATCCACCAGCACAGATTAAATGGTTTAAAGATGAAGAAGATATTTACAGTGTTATGCCACAAGGTAAGTATTAAAGTTTGTTTCAGTGATTAGTTTTAGTACCATATATAGATGCCATTTGATTCCAACTTATTCGTCTAAATAATAATGATAATGTTGGAGCTATCCTGAAGACTTCTCGCAATAGATATGACAAGCTCAGGGATCATTAAGATGTATTTTATTCATTCAGCGTTTGATTAGAAGTTCTGGTAGAAATATCGCGAAAATGAAAAGTCATATGTAGAGATTCTGATTACCTGATTATTACACTGCTACTATGTTTAGTAACATTCCACAATTTTCAGGAAAACCCAAGAACTTTTAAAATACTATAAAAACCCTATGTTTTCTGTACATAGATGAAACTTTGAAGTAAAGTGCTTGTCGCATATTGTGCGCCTTTACTCTTGTGTTCAAGTTGCTGTGTAGATTTAGCTTGGGGGTTACGAGACTAGCTTAGGATCCAATTATAGCATTCAATAAGGAAGACTTATTAGATAATAGTGTTAATAAGGATAGTTCTATTCAACATAATAAATTGTAATTTAAAACAATTAGTTTCTTTGATAAATTGAGATAACGAGATGAGAACAGGCAGGTTATCACAATCATGTGATGGATTTACGTAATATATTTATTATGTAGAGTAGTTTTCACATCGTGTACCTTTTCAATTATTATCTTTATTTTTCACGACTAATGTCTTATAAGTATATATGGAATCAGATTGTTTGACTTGCTCCATGAGGTATTTCCTGGAATTCTAGTGAGAAGCAGTAACCAGTGGAGTTCAAACAGGTCTGTTGTGAGATATCAACTCACTGAAGTCAATGGTGAATGGTTGCTCAATTTCATGGATTGGTTGAAGTTAAACATTCACACCGTTGGATGCCGGCCGGTTCAGTGGTTTAGAGATTAAGCACTCACGCGCGAGACTGGTAGGTCTTGGATTAGAATCTCGCAAGTCGGGATCGTAGATGTGCACTGCTGAGGAGTCCTACAGAATGACGAAACGGTTGTACAGTGTTTCCAGGTTTTCCCTGATGGTCTAGCTTCAATTGACTAATGATTTTAACTATATATATAGCTCAAATATGTTACATAATTCTGATAACCTTTGCTTACTTATCACATTAACGAAATTGTATTAAAGTAAATAACCCTCATTGTCAATTATTTAGTGCTACAGTAAATTTCTCTATAGTATGTATTCAAAATTTTTCAAGACCATATTTCCCAATCGTTTTTAATAGTTAGTACATGATATCCATCTTCTCAATGACGAAATTATTCTGCCCGTTCAGTTACCGAATTTTTTTCCCTCACTGATATATTAAACACATAACTACCTGTGTATTTGTCTCTTGTCTCCTCAGGGAGAAGGAAAATATGCTTACAATTACAGTATTTCCCCTTGAGTTCTATAGTGTTCAATATAGCATTGATTTACAAGATATCTATGGTAGTTCTTAAGTACATGGTGTCCACACTCATAATTATTTAATTCAAACAAATTTAAAACAAGATATTTAATTAAACTATTTGTACAGTTTCAAAATAACTGATCCAGACATCGAAGCAGGTTGCGTTCTCTCTAAGATATGAAATAAGTAGATACATATTCACTTAGTACTAAGTAAATACTAAGTGAATTTGAACTTCACCCCATTGCATAAGCAAGTTGCTATCAGGACTCAGTAGCTAAGTGAATAACAAAATGACGTTTGAAGCGAAAGTTACCGGATTGGAGTCCCAGAGTGAACATCAACTCTGAGATGCAGGCACATCCAGCTGAAGAGTTTGAAAATAGGACGAAACACGCATCAAAATGGATTCCACTGTTAGCCACTATCCATCTTTGCTTATAAGTAGGTACATTCACAAAAGTTTTCAAAATAACAATCTTAAAAGTTTAATGTGTTAGATGAAGTTGAGGTTCATTCTAAGATAGTTCACATTGAGGGAAGGTCGGATATTTCATGTTATTATTCAATCGTTAAATTACAAATGTGATCAGCATTGCCAACATTGTCTTGAAATCATACTTTTGTTCAACCTTCAAATGGTTTCAAAAATCAATGAGAAAAGTCTATAAAATCTAACAAAATGGAGAAGATTTGTAGCTCAGATGAGTTATTTAGATGTGGGTTTGTTCTCTAAGTTGGATGGTTTGGTCGTGGAGCTTTCATCGTCCTTCTGAACGACATCATCAACACAAACTTCGGATAGAAGTGAAGTGTTCTGCACATGTGAATCACAGCTTGTTCTGTCTAGCTCGATGTTGATTGGTTCTTATTGACCTTAAATCTGTCACATCAAAATGGATCATTCATAGGCATGGGCAAAAACATAGTTAATTAAGATTTTTATAATTAATAAAGGAATATTCGAACCTTCATATTGAATAATAAAAATATTTTGTACTTATTCTTCAGATCGTTTTTCAATTAGCTCTGATGGTTCAGCTTTAACAATCCTTAATGTTCGTCTTGAAGATCAAGGTCAATTCAAATGTTTAGCAGTCAACATACCTGGATCTTGGAATTATCATTATACACTGGAAGTAACATGTAAGCAAATTTTGGAAGAACTATTTTCTTACAATGAGTAATAACCATTTGGTTCAACCCACACACATGTACATAGACGCTTCTTTGACGATTACAAACATTATCTGATGGTGAAAATAGAATTAGTTTACCAAAAAGAGTGTAGATCATCAACGTTGATGATCTATGTCGAATGATTGGGGGCCTACTAGAGTTAGACGAGAATGGTGACGAACCAACTAACTTCGAAGTCACACCTCGTGGTCAGCATTTAACATCGATTACCCCATTCGACGTATTAAAGTACTATACCTGCTTTGAAGACTGTATAACACAAAGAGCGTGATTACGTAAATATATTGGTAAGAATTAGTACATAGACATTAATGAGACCACCACCGCGTGGGCCAGTCCATGGCGTATGCGAGTTGACTGTTCTTGACCTTGACGGGGATCGATGATCTGTTCGATATTTAGTGACCCAACTGCCGGATGATTTGGCTAGGGTTCAGTGACAAACAACTTTTGGTCTTTAAACTCCTGGTAAGATCAATGTAAGTTTTGTAAACTGTTAATCACTGTTATTCTACAGACGTGATTCACAAGGACGTACTTTATTCATAAGTAGTTTTAAAAAATCTCAGCTCTACAAATTTTTATTAATAATCATAAAACTGTTCATTTTTTTCACAGCATCTCCTGGTATATTGAGGCATTCATCTTCACCATCTAAAGTAAATGTGAATGATGGACAAGAATTACGTTTACAATGTTTAGCTACAGCAAATCCGGAACCAGTTTATCAATGGTTAAAGGATGATACACCATTGAGTCTTCATGTTTTAACTATGTCACCAATTGAAGGAAATGACTTTTCAACACCAAGTATAGATGTAACAAATTTAAGCAGCCGTTATGAACTTCATGATCAAGGGCGACTACTTTTAATTAGAGGTATTCAAACACATGATGCTGGAAGATTTACATGTGTCGCTAGTAATCCAGTTGGAGAAGATAGATTGGATATAGAAGTTGAAGTTTCATGTAAGTAACTTTGTATAAGTCAATAGTTTTTAATGTAAAGAAGAAATTATAACAATTCAATAAAAAAAAATATTCAAAAGGGATTTTGTGGAGATTTCAGTATTTTTCAAAGTTGAAATCATGAGTCAATTGAAACTAGACCACCATGGGAAACCTGGTCTATCGGTTAAGGGTTCTGACTTAAGACTGTTAGGTTCTGGGTCCGAATCTCGAGGGTGCGAGATCGTGGATACGCACTACTGAGAAGGAAATTTTTCTTTTAGACAGCTTCATTTACTTAAGCTGTACAAGACTAATTATAGGTACTTATTAGACGTAAGTTTAGAATAAAATGGGTAAATATTCATCATCGTGAAAGTGATAAAAAATGTTTTCAAGTATTAAAAAGAATTACTTAATCGACCACAGTGAACATAAATTACAGATGGATAATCCTTATCAACCTAAATAATATTATGAAACTGAGAATACAGAGTTGAAGTTAGACACCATAGGATGGAGGCCCAGAGGTCTATCAGTTAATTGATCTGGCGCGAGACTGGTAGGTCCCGGGTTCGAATCTCGCGAGGCGCGATCGTGGAGCCCCGCAACAGGACGAGACGACCTTCCAGTGCTACCAGGTTTTCCTTGGTGATCTAGCTTCAATTGACTCATGCTTTCAACTATGCAAATACAGAGCCGTATTGGGTCATAAATTGTTTGAAATCATCAAATATAGAAAGGAAGTTATTTAATAATCCAAGACATAATAAAAAATGGAAATTACACTTCATGGAAGTAATAAATCTTTTAGTTGAACTCCAGATTCGGCTTCTTAAGCTCTTCTAGTAGCCCCCAGGCTAAATCTGCACAGCGACCTGAACACTAGAGAAAAGAAAGAAACGCTTTAATCCAAGGTTCGTTTATGAACATAAAATCTATGGCATTTCTAAAATTTTAGATGGACTTAGGCCTCCAGAAAATTCGGGAACGCTACTAAACATAGTAGCAGTATAGATAATCATCCAATCAAGAACGCGACATGTGACTTCACTTTCTAGATGTATCTAACACAACTTCTATTGGATGCTGATTGGATAAAGAAGTTTCTCAACATTTTCAGAACCTTCCTTGGTCTATTCCGAGGAATTTCCTGGATCTTCCCAACAGAGAGACAACTACGCAATTAATAAATATGAAGAATAGTTAAATATTATTATAAGTTCTGACTATTAGTTATGAAGACATGACAATATAACGGTTGGTTTACACATATTACGATACTACCTTAATACGTTAATAAGACCAATCACGTTATATCAGAATCAGGGATCGCGACCTAAAATAGAGAACCAGATTAGCACTAGAGAATACTTTATTCAGCATAGTTAAAAACAACCATACACAGTGATTCCAGAGTAGAAATCAATGTTAGGGAGGAAAATCACATGTTTAATAGCCCGTAGGCTGTGGCTGTTTGTCCACACTCAACAGCCGATCATACTTCAGTTTCACTATCACACATAACACAATAAATGACTATTGAAGATAGATCGTTGATTAATGAAGAATGGGGGTTAAGAATATATTAGAATGAAAAGCTGAACATATTTCTATGTTCACAGATTAGACCATGATCAATGATTTGTTAAAACCCTTAACGAGTTCCTGATTCTCATTTACTTGTAACAACTTTATTTAATTACATAAGTAACTTTGAATGAGGATTCCGGTGAAGTAGTAACTAATATTCATGAAATGTTCAAGATTTGAACTATTGATTAGCTTTCTCAATTATTTTGACAGCCCCCAAATGCCCTGGTACGGCCGAGAGTGGGGAGAGTCCGCTCTCCCTCTCCAAATGCTGTCACATGGCCAATGAATATATAGCCTATGACAGGGAAGTCCTACTCACTGCCTTCTCATGACATAACTGTTGTTTACGAAATTGAAAGGACGAAAAGCGAATGTCCGGCGCTTTAACCGGGTTGGTGGACAAGGCGAATCAATCGTTGGTCACCGGCTACCATGAGACTGCATCTCCTTAAGATGCTCCACTGCCTTGTGGATCAGATCTTTCAGTCAAAGGCTCCGGGTGTGGGCCCCTAAGAAAACTACCTGCTTCGGTTTGGGCACCTGTGCAGTATCACAGCCCTCAAGCAAATCGAATGAGATTTGTGCGGCGCATATTTATCTGGTGCTTCCTTGTACCAATATTTATGTGTTTAAATAATAATAATTCTTTTGACAACTAAGTAGGGTAATCAGAGATGGATAGTGGCTAGCAGAGGAATCCAGGACGCGCGTTTCGTCCTATTTGGGACTCGTCAGCTGGATGTACCTGCATCTCAGAGTTGATGTGCACTCTGGGACTCGAACCCAGTACCCTCACTTCAAACGCATTCGCGTTATCCACTCGGCCACTGAGTCCTGATAGCCACTTGCTTGTGCGATGGGGTGAAGTTTGAATTCACTTAGTATTGTTTGTTTGGATCTTCCCATCGATGTGTTTAGGACTGACCAGTTGCAGTCCTAAACACATCGATGGGAAGATCCAAACAAACAATACTAAGTGAATTTAAGTAGGGTAATGTTAGAAGATTTGTTTCTGATTTATTCTTACTCTAGTAGTCATTGTATTTAACTTAGAACTCTTCTAACAATTTAATATAAACTAGCTGCTTATTATGAATAATCTATTCAATATTTGAATTCATGAACCGATTAAAGCTAAAAACCACCATGGACAATCTGGAAGCATTACAATCTTCACAAAACCCCCTTTCTGTTAATCTATTTAATGATTCACTGAAAAAAGAGTTCATTCAATTCATACATTTTACAAAGAATAAAATGTCATCCTTTTTATATCTGGAGAGAAATCTATGTTACTATCTAGGAAACTGTGTTTACAATGAGAAACTGCTGGTTATAAAGCGGATATCCTAAACACATTTTTTTAAGAATAAATTGATCTAAAAAATTAAATCGATTCATTCATTCGTCTAAACTTGTAGCGTTCAGTCGTGAGTTCGATGAGGAATCCTGTTAGGTGGCATATGCTCCTTCATAAGGGGTAACAGGCGTAAGTAAGCAAGTAAGTGAGTCATGAATAAGTGTATATATAACCTTCCAGATGATTTAAATAGAACTTGAACAAAATCATATACCATTTTAGCATTTAAAGTTATCTTTGCTAGTAAGGAAAGAGATGATGAAGATAATAGATATCAGTCAACAGATAAATTACCTTCAATCTTTTTCACTAACTAATCTTTAGCTTCTCCAAGATTTCTTGATGGTTTGGATCATGAATCACCAATATTAGAGAGAGGCAAATCAAACTATTTATGGTGTAATGTTACTGGACATCCAGAACCTGAAATTCGTTGGGAATATGTAAGTTACCCATTTTTCTGACTACAAAAGTTATATGTTCCAATTAGCTAATAAAAAATACTGAACATCAAGATGTATATCAAGATATTACTATTAAAGGAGAAGAAAACTGTTGACTAATAACAGTTCAAAAAAGGAAATTTTCATTTCGACGGTATCATTTACTAAGGTTATACTCATGTATATTGATTTTTAAAGGCTGTTTTATCGTTGACGGAGGTAACAAAATCGATAAACAATTTTTTAATGTTTAACAAAGTTACGTAACTGGACAAAAGATAATAAGGGTGGAAATGAAAGACGGGTATACACCTGATGAAGAGAATAAAGAAGCAATGAATATGTGGCTGCAGAATAAGAAAAAGGTCTTTAGGTTTATGTTAAAATGAAAGGATGGCTATACCTTTTCTAAACACAAAAATGAGGTTTGAACTGGTGAATTACCAAAGCTATGTACAAATTTTCTAATTCATTTCTCTAAAGTCAGTTTGTTCGACTTTATACATAATTTTGAATGAAGACTCTGACAGTGGTAGATGGTTGAACTATTAACCGATTTACATTGACCGTTAGAAAATCACACTAGATAGTATTCGGATATGAATATGTATAAATCACGATTTCAAACTTGAAAATTACTGATGAGTATGAAAGAATAATACAAAAATTCCAAGAAAAAGTACTATGCATGATAATTTCCTTCTAACTTGATAACAACTATTGAATATCATTGATGTCAACTGAATAGTTGGGTGAAATCATGTTAGTTGGACATTAGTGTTATGTCTGCGGAATGATAAGCTGATATGATACTTGATCATGGGAAATGGTGAATCAGAAGACGCAAGTAAAAACATGAAAACGACAGTTAAAGATTTATTCCAGCCCTCCCCCCCCAAAAAAAATAAATCAAAACGATATATGGATACATTACTTTCTATATGAGTTATTTACAGAGAAATTTGTGCACGTTTGGCGGAATGGTATTTAACACCCATTAATCAATAACTTACTATGTGAACACCTACTTACCATATCATACGATTAAGCATCTATAACCCGCAGATATAACTAATTGACAAAGTTATATAATCACTGCTTTTCAAGATGTGATTTGTTGAGGATGTCAAATCCCCAGAATTTACTTGATAAATGGCTTAGTTTTGTAATTTTATTTTGGAAATTTAAATTTGGCTGTTTTCGCGCCAAACGCGCTCTTTTTACCTTCACGTCATATTTCCCACTTGTAGACTATCTTAAACGCTATTGGTCCATTGTTTCTTTGTGTGTGCTATTTATTAATGATGCTCAAGGACAATTTGTTGTTGTATATATACGCTTGACTTTTTCCCTTATTTGATTGCTTGTACTTGGCTGCTTACGGAATATATTATATTCCCCTATTTGCCTTGAACTTCTTCATCTAGTTAGCGGGGCCTGGGACAACAGATTAGAATAGCTTATCGTGTCATTGTGTCATTGGCTTTCGTTTGTTACCGCGGAAATCGATTTAGTTCAAGCATATCATGATTACATGGTATAGACAACTGGGAAGAAATCGATTTCATATGTCATGATTGAGTCATTTCTTACCGAATCAAATAAATACTCATATATATACAGCTGATAATCTTATACTGAACAATTTGCTACCCTGGAAATAAACACAAATATTATTCTGAACAGTTATTATATTGAATTAAGAAAAGAGATTATCTCATCTTTCTATCTAGACAAATTAGTTTTTGAAATATTTTTATAAAACTGTAAGGATGGCTCGTTAACAAACTCAAGGAAGCCTCAAGAAGCCCAGAAACAGCCGAAGACATTCCATCCAATCACTACTAGGGGAACGTTATAGAACGTCGAAGTGTAACTTCCCTATTGGATGAATAAGAAGGATACCCTATGTGCCTATTAGCTGTGCGAAATGATGATTTGCTTTCAGACAAAAACTATGAATACATTAGATTTTTATACTATATTTGACACTGTGTTGGAAATAAGATTCCTACTTACTAGTTTTCAGTCTTCTCTCTTGCGACGTTGCGGGTTCGAGCATTCAAGTAGTCACGTAGTACGCAGCATAGCAAGAATCTAAAGTTCTAAATATAACAGAAATTAATTAAATGTTTATCTTGTTTTTTCTTTCTTTTATAAATTAAGGATCTTCCAACTAGTGGTCCAGGTGATCGTAATATACAACAACGTTTAAATGGTAGACAATTAGTTTTACCAAATGTTGACTATGGTATAATAACACGTTATATGTGTATTGGTAAAAATAAAGCTGGTGAAATTAAACGAATATTTGATCCAACTTTAGTATGTAAGTAATTTCTTCACTTATAGATTTCGCCTTATATTTATCGAACTATAAATCTAGATATAATTGATCGGTATTTTGAATTTGCTTACTTACTTACTTATGCCTGTTAATCCCCGTGGAGGAGCAGAGGCTACTCATCAGAATTTTCCATCCTGGATAATTCTTTCCAGGTGTTTCTTATTTCTATTCATTCTTCAAATTTCTGCTTCCAATTTTCGACCCAGTGACTTCTTTGACCTTCCTTTTTTCCGTTTCACTTCACAACTCCAGGGAGTAAGAGCTTGCCTCGTTATGCAGTTTGATGATTTTCACAACACGTTGTCCCATCCACTTGCAGCATATTTTCCTAATTTCCTCTTCAGCCGAAACCTAGTTTGTTATCTCCCACAGTAGTAGTAGTAGTAGGCTGTTGCTGATAGTTTCCGTTAAACCACGGACATTGAGTATCTTGTGTAGACGACTGTTCATAAATACTTGCACCGTTTCTGATGATGGTTATGATAGTTGTGGAAGTTTCAGCAGCGTACAGTAGAAGTGACTGTGTTCACGTTCGTATGGAAGATTGTGAATTCAATATTGGTTGACATACAGTTCTGTTTAACTTGCATATGTTCTTCGAATGTAAGAATGTTATCCTTGCTTTGCTAACCGTTGCCTTTACGTTCGCATCCCATGTATATGTATGTGATAGTAATCACCATAAGTGATTTTAAGTAAGACATTCTGAATTGACAATTAATTGGTCGCTGAGTAGTGGCAACTGTCATACACATTAAGCCCTTCTAATTATTGATCGACTTGTATCAATAGACTTACGACATGGCCACTAACTGACTCGACATCTTGTGCATTGTGTTGAAATGTGGGATGGTGGTCAAATATAGTTGATAAGAAACCGTGAACTTATGTTTTGTACTGTTTGGTAATCATCAGTAAGGTGTACGTGAAATTTTCATGGGACTAATTCTCTATGGAGGATTCGTTCCGTATCACCTAGCTTTACAGTCAAAGATGTTATCACTGAGCTATTTGAGATGCAACTGACTTCCTTTAGAAATAAGATCAATTTGTAATTGATTGACCATTGAGTCTAATGTGTACCTTCATCATAAATTATGTTAACATCACTAATAATACGAATACAAAAACTTAAGGTCGATGTTCACTAGTAATCACTACTGGTTAATTCGGCGTTGAATTCCTTTGGAACTCCCAGTTCTCGTTACGGAAATAATCACACTTCAACCCATCATATTACTTTTTGCCTATTTGATGTTTTAAATCATTTAGACATATCTCCATCAAAGAAATTACGCTTATTATAAGTTACGTTGAAAGATAGTACCCTTATTCACAATATCTTACTAACTAGAAACTTGAGAAGTATCTTATATTTGTATTTTCCTTATATTGTTATTACTGTTTTATTGAATAAGATCCCCCAGTAATTATTGGACCAGAAGGGAAAAATCCAAGACATGTATTACAAAACTCTAGTACTCGATTAATATGTGACTGGGAAGCATCACCAAGAGCTCAAGTGGAATGGTTTAAAGATGGAGAATTAATTACCACTGATACATTTCCAAATATTAATGTTTCTGTTGGTGATACACAAGTAAGAAAACTATAAGAAAAATTAGATCTTCTTTTAGTGATGAATTTTTGTTTTATTTTGTTATATGCTCACTAGTGATTGGCTCCAAGATGTATTTCATCGAGTTCTAGTGAGAAATAGTGACCAATGGAGTTCAACCAGGTCTGTTGTGAGATAGTAACTCACTAAAGACATTGGTGAATGGTTGCTCAATTTCATGGATTGGTTGAAGTTAAACATTAACACCGTTGGATGCCGGCCGGCTAAGTCGTCTAGAGGTTAAGAGCTCACGCGCGAGACTGATAGGTCCTGGATTCGAATCTCGCGAGGCGGGATCGTGGATGTGCACTGCTGAGGAGTCCCATATTAGGATGAAACGGCCGTCCAGTGATTGCAGGTTTTCCCTGGTGGTCTAGCTTCAATTGACTCACGCTTTCAGTCATATTTGGATGTTGAATTTATAGAAACAGGATAATATGAGTCATGAGAATGAGAATCAGGTGAAAAGTTCAACGATGTGAAATAGAAGAAAACTAGATGAATTGTGTGTATGTATGTATGTATGTATGTATGTATGTATGTATGTATGTGTAAGTGAGTTACTAATGAATGATATTCGGTGTTGATATGTTTCCATGTGAATGAAAAATAAGAATAAAAGTGCAAATTGAAGGTTGAAAAATTGTTTCTGAATCATTGAATTGCAATTAAAAATGTGAATCATTAAGTACATAATTGTAATTGAAATCATGAGCACGTCTGTTGTGAGATATCAACTCACTGAAGTCAATGGTGGATTGATTGAAGTTAGACATAAACACCATCGGATAGCGGCTCAGTGGTCTGTCGGTTAAGTGCTCTGGCTCGAGACTGGTCGATCCTGGGTTCGAATCCCGTGAGTCAACATCGTGGATGCGCACTGCTGAGGAATCCCATAATAGGACGAGGTGGCAGTCCTGCGCTTCTAGGTTTTCCATGGTGGCCTAGCTTCAATTGACTCACACTTTCAACTATGAAAATACTAAATCTCCACAAAACCCCTTCTCATAAACATAATTGTAATGCTAAGCATAACTCATATTGATTTCAGTCGAAATAACAATTCATGTGTGATAAACAGGTTGAATAAAGAAGTAAAGGGTCCAATTACTTGTTGATGAATATTTACCAAATGGTTACTAGCTGAATACCATCCTTTCTGTTTAGGCTGTTCTTATTCGCCCATATATACAATATTTCTGCTGTCAATCTTTCTTTATGAGTGTTGAAACCCTTCTGAAGTATTTTGGTCCCTTAAAATTAATCCTGTGTCCCGTTCCTGTAACGCATGTAACGTTATCGCAGACTTATACTCAAGTTTCCATATGTCAACTGAAGTTTTCGGAACGTTTTTCGAACACTGTTTGTGTTCCTTCAACCTTATATTCAATCGTCTGGATGTTTCTCCAATATAAGCTGCATAACAATCATGATAATTGATCTCATAAACAATATTTTGTTGTTCCTTCCTAATTTTTATGAAAAATCTTTTTATTGTTTTACATTAGCTTTATCTAACCGATTTACAAAACTCAGACGCTGGAAATTATCGTTGTGTAGTAACCAATGAATATGGTTTGGCTAAACGTCAATGGCTAGTACAAGTAATGTGTAAGTTAGTATTTCGCTTTTATTTAACGTATCTTGTATGAAATGTGACATGTTTTGAAGATCATAACTTTCATTGATAAGTTGACTCTGTTGAATAACGAACAATGATATTACTGAAATATGTAGGTCCCCTTTAACGTCGTATAAATTCTTTAACTAATTCTCACTAGTGCTAACGAAATGGCAAAAGTTGTAAGTGAAAGATTCTTGTAAATAAATATTTCAAAGCTTTCTGTAGGCAGACTTCTCAGACACACCTGGAATTACTTTAACGTACTTACGGCTGTTGCCCCTTGTGTGAGAATAGACTGTCCACCAGGATTCTCCAACCAGCTATATCTTGGACTATTCATTCCTGTTGTTTCCTAGTGCTATTCACCCGTTTGATATCTGCCTTCAATGCCTGACGCGATGTATTTTTGACCTTCCTCTTTTCCTTCCCACTTCAAGATTACAAGTAAGAGCTTGCTTCGTTATACAGTTTGATGATCTCTCCAACATATTTCTTATCCACTTGAAGCATCCTTTTCTGACTTCTTCATTTGAAAGCTGGTTTGTGTTCTCCTCCACAGTAGATTATTGTCGATGGTGTCTGACCAATGACCAATAGATCTGAAATGTCCTGTGTAAACAGTTGTTGATAAATAACTATACATTTTTTATGATGATTGTAGTATTGCTTCATGTTTCAACTCCACAAAACGTAACTGTTAACGTTCGAGTTGACAATCCCGACTTTGATGTTGGCTAGCAGATAGTTGCTTTGAATTTCAGATAACCTTCAGTTGTAGGGATCATGTCTTTATTCTGCCGATTCACTGCTTTACGCCTAAATCAGATCCTCGTTGTTTATGAATGATGTTGACCAGGTACATGGAAGTGTTCATCTCTTCTAGAGTTTCTCCATCAAGTGTGATTTGGTTGGTGCTCACTGTGTTATATTTTGAGGATCATACTTGTTTATGTGAAGGATCACTGCTGAAGAGTTTGCTGCTACATTGGATGTCTTCACCTGAGTTCATTGGTGTGTATAGAATAGAAGAGGTTGATCATCTGTGAAAACTAAATAACCTAGCTGCATCCAAGCTACTTTACTGGGGCTTTGGATCAGCAGTAACCTAGAAGAGCTACAGACGGAGTTCTGTTTATCCATTTATACTTAAAAAATGCCCGTGACTTGGCTCACAACAAATTACTCTAAATATTAAACGTATTTATGACAACAGAAGTCATAACTCGTGGATTAAATGAAATCGGGGAATAATAAAGCAAATGTTCTAGAATACTGAACGGTTGCATAGACGTGTGATAAAAATTGCCACGTGTATATCATTTGAGTTCACTAACGAGATCAGTACATTTAGTAGAGTTACTGTATGTATATTACAAAGTAACAACCTAGTTTTTCAAAAGTATAAATAGTCTGTTTGACGAATGCTGGAACTTAGATTCCACGTTTATTCCTCATTAAAATAAATAGGTTAACACTTGACATTTTTTCATAGTTGAAAGCATTAGTCAATTGAAGCTAGACCACCATCCAAAAACCTCGAAGCACTGGACTCCCATTTCGTTCTATTGCGGGACTCCTCAGCAGTGAGCATCCACGACCTCGCCTCGTGAGATTCAAGGAGTCCCATAATAGGACGAAACGGTTGTCCAGTGATTTCAGGTTTTCCTTGGTGGTCTAGCTTCAATTGACTCATCCTTTCAACTATGAAAATACATAATATTATCGATATTTATAGGTTGTTTCGATTAATTGAGCGAATTTATTAGGGGAAAATCAAATGGATTTAAACATCAAAAGCCTTTTCTTCATATATATATATCTTATCAAAGTGCATTTATTACGCACTTTGACAAAAGACATATGACCTGATAGATGAACATTATGTCACATGTAACATTCAAAAAAAAAGTTTTTTTCTAGTAATTTTCATTTTAATTATAGAAGGGGTTTTGTGGAGATCTAGTATTTATCATTGTAGAAAGCGTGAGTCAATTGAAGCTAGACCACCATGGAAAACCTGGAAACACTGGACGGCCGTTTCGTCCTATTATGGGACTCATCAGCAGTGCGCATGGTGGTCTAGCTTCAATTGACTCACGCTTTCAACAATGATAAATACTAAATCTCCACAAAACCCCTTCTATAATTAATATAATCATATGCTCACTAGTGACTTTGAGAAGTATGTCTAGGAGCTCTAGTGAGAAGCAGTAAACAGTGCAGTTCGAAACCACGTCTGTTGTGAGATAGGAACTCACTGAAGACAATTGGTGAATGGTTGCTCAACTTCGTGGACCAGTTGAAGTTAGACATTAACACTGTTGGATGCCAGCTCAGTGGTCTATCGTTAAGGGCTTCGGCTGGAGACTGGTAGGTACTGGGTTCGAATCTCGCTCGCGAGAGCAGGTTCGTGGATGCGCACTGCTCAGGAGTCCCATAATATAACGAAACGGCCGTCCAGTGTTTCCAGGTTTTCCATGGTGGTCTAGCTTCAATTGACTCACGCTTTCAACAATGATAAATTTTCATTTTTAAAAAAATACAGAAACTAAAATTTTATCAGGTTTCGGTAGTGTAATAAGAAGATCAGAAGGGGTTTTGTGGAGATTTAGTATTTTAAAAGTTGAGTGCGTTAGTCATTTGAAGCTAGATCACCAGGTTTTCCCTTGTGGTGAAAAACCTGGTGGAAGATTATCAGAATTATGTAACATTTATTATCACAATACATTTTGAACAATCTGATCACTCGTATACAAGCAAGTGGCTATCAGGACTCAGTGGCCGAGTGGATAACGCGATGGCGTTTGAAGCGAGGGTACTGGGTTCGAGTCCCAGGGTGAACATCAACTCTGAGATGCAGGTACATCCAGCTGACGAGTCCCAAATAGGACGAAACGCGCGTCCTGGATTCCACTGCTAGCCACTATCCATCTCTGCTTACCATGCTTGTGAATTAAGGCTATATCGAGGCAATACGCACAGTATGCACATATGCCAATTAGAGACTGACCAGTTGCAGTCCTAAACACATCGATGGGAAGATCCAAACAAACAATACTAAGTGAACTCATATACTTTGTTAAGAACATTTATATATAAAAATAAAAAGTCAACTAGACTGGAAATGCTAGGGGTAATAGGAGACAAGGATAATGTGGAAAATAATGTGGGAGTAACTTGAAACCTAATCACTGTGGTTAATAAGCTAATATTACCAGGGTAGGTTTAAAGTGAGAACAAACTATTTTTGAATACACAAAAGGGGTTTGAATTTTCGTATGCCTAAGGATTTAATACACCTTAGTATACGTCCTTTTACACTTCTATATAAACCTCCTCCTTGTCTAATCTTACCCCACCCCCATTTCCAATCTAGTTGACCTTTTATTTTTATATATAAATGTTTTTAACAAGTATATGTATGATCAGATTATTCGATGTGTATTGCGCTAATAAATGTCACGCAGTTCTGATAATCTTCGTCTTCTTATTACACTATGGAAATTTATCAAAGGGACTAATTGCTTTATCAGGTTTATTTAATAAAGTCTGGGTAATTCAAAAAACCAAAAAAACTATCACGTTTAATGTTTAAATAATTTGTCAGATGGTGGGGGGTTGTGGAGATTTTTAGTAATTTTATAGTTGAAATCATGAGTCAATTGAAGCTAGACGGTATCGTGGATGCGCACTGCTGAGGAGTCTCACAATAGGACTCATAATAGTGCTTCCAGGTTTTCCATAGTGGTTTAGCTTCAATTTACTCATGATTTGAACGTTAAATGATTTATAGAGTTGAGATCATGAGTCAATTGAAGCTAGACCACTATGGAAACCTGGAAGCACTATTATGAGTCCTATTGTGAGACTCCTCAGCAGTGCGCATCCACGAACCCACTCTCGCGGGATTCGAACCCAGGACCTACCAGTTTCGAGCCGAAGCCCTTAACCGATAGACCACCGATAGTCCCATTATAGGACGAAACGGCCGTCCAGTGCTTCCAGGTTTTCCATGGTGGTCTAGCTTCAATTGACTCATGATCTCAACTCTATAAATTACTAAAATCTTCACAAAACCCCTTCTGTTAAATGATTTGCTTGAATTATTCAATCATTATTTTGTATAGCGGTAGAAATATTCATCATTTCATTATGAAGCAATAAAGCAATAAAGCAATAAAGCAATAAAGACTTTAGATGGTGAGATTATTATTTATGGATGACCTTTGAGTGACGTTGTAGTGAATGGGAACATAAGTGGGGACAATCGAATGTATGTGTATACAAAATTGCAGAATATCTTAGTAAAATTTGAGAACCATATAGTAAACACTTCATTTGCGAAACACCAAATAATCGTCTCAGACTTTATTGTTTATTCATTTTCACATCAATGATTCTCATTCTTCGATCTTCTTGATTTTCTGATGCCAGGTATTTCAGATACGACTTATATCCATGGACATTAGTAGGGCACACCGAAACGGTGACATGTCATTGAGATTGTCCACCTAGTATCATGAGTTAAATGAGAGTTATAAACCTATGTGAAGAATAAAGATTATAATTTATAATTGATGGTTAGGGTTAGAAATTAGATTACAAGTTTTCATCAGTAAACTTGTTCTGATTATATGTCCGGCTTTTATTACGTGATTTATTTACCAATCAAAATTCGAGTTATCCAATCATAGCACTGTACCAAAAATAATGACGTTCGACCAGTATGAGCAGTCTAGCTTCCTTATTGGTCTGTTGTCCGCCTCTAGCCCTTTCAATTAAGTCCAGAACATCAATTACAGCTTCTGCTATGCGAATCATGTATTTCAAGTATACTCCGTTTATATACCAAACAGACAGACCACATCACATCATCAAATAGAAAATATTACTTGTACAAGATCAAGCCAAAATGTGGCTGTGAATGTGGGAGACAATAATCAATAGAACTGAATGTAATTTAGGAACAGTAAATCGTATAGTGAAA